CTCCTGTAGTACAGCATCCTCCCAAAGAATGCAATACAAAATGCACATTAAAGCTCAGGGCAGCACCAGCCTGGGGGGGAAAGAAGCACAAGCAGCTTCTTTCCTCCTGGGAGCAGGGCTGGGAATGTTCTCCTGTGTTCCTGCAGGCTCTTCCCTCCCTGCAACAGTCAAGGGACACAAACAGCTGAGCTGGCACTAATAGCTGCTGTTGTGCTGCTGTAAAGAGCACTAACACAGTCCCAGCATCCAGAGATGCAGCTGAGCACACGCAGGCCTGCAGATTCCCACCTCTATTCCCTCATGGAGTTAATTCAGCTGAGCCACCCCTTTTGTTGAGCCCTGTCCATGTCTAAAGAGCAGCTTTAAGCTGCCAGATGACTGGCAGTATTTTTGCATCAGTAATCCTCTTGCAGTAAGCATGTCTAGGACACCAGGGCTGTTTCCAGAGGCTACAGCACATAGACACTACCTGCCCCTATACCTTCAACTTGGGTAGCCCAAATTCTTGCTTCTTTCAAAGGGCTGGCACTGCCTGTTACAAAATACATTCATTCCTATCTTTTCTGCTCCTTTCCCACAATAAGAATGAAACAGGGCTGGAAATCATCCAGGCCCAGGGCTCAGATGCAAAGCAAGCAGTAAATCAAGGCTGCTATCTCCACCAGGACATGTCCCATTAGCATCACTGATACAGACAGAAAACTATCCCCTCAATATAACACTTTAGGTTCAGTTCCTTCTCAGGCCCTGTAACACTTTCCCTGCATCCAGGGAATTCCAGCAGCTCACGTTCTTGTTAATAGAAGGTTAATTGTGTGCTCAGCCTAAAAGAGCCAATGACTGTGAGGAAGCAGAGGGAACTAATAGCTCAGGACCAGCAAGAGAACCAGATGCTCTGAGCTGCAGGTCCAGCCATCACTCCTGTGATGGCTGATTTACAGCTGCACCTACGTAGAGGTCAGGACAGCAAACAGTGATGGAAATGTGGCAGGAGGAGCTGTCATTCCTGGTCAGGTGGCAGGACTGGGAAGCTGGCAGCTTCCGACAGCCAGATTGAGGACTCGGACACCTTGTGCCAGCTCCTGATGGACACGGAGGAACACATGAGCGCAAGAACGCAACGGGATGAGCTGCAAGGAGACTTTAGCAGCACGTATCTCAGCTCCAAACACTTCTCTGCACCACCTCCTGCTGCCAGCACTGCCCTGACCACATCTGCTTTCTGTTCCCCAAGCCCCCTGCTACGGATGGGAGGGCAACACATACTGCTGCTGTCCATGGAATGGGCTCTGAGGGCACCACAGCAGTGCTGAGTCTGCAGGACTGCTCGGTTGGGTTCGGGTTGGCTTCTTTTAATGCATGAGGCATAACTGACACGCACTGAATCCTCCTGTCTAGACATCTGCAGAGAAGTGACAAGCTGCCAGAGAGGATGTGGAGCCGCGGCAAGGGGGTGGGGAGGACGGGATAAAGCTGCACACACTTGCCAGCTCCACAGCACAGAGTGCTGGCTTCAGGCAAGAAGGGCATTGAGCACATTGACCTCGTCAGAGGCTTTCAGCAGCTCAGTGGGTTGTCATCAATGGGTTCTGGTGCATGCACAAGGCTGGAGGTCTGTTCTAATTAAAACCTCTCTCCCCATCACTCCCAGGGAGCTGTGTTTGGGAACTCAGCTCCAAGTTGCTCTCCATCACCCCAGCTCAGGCTCAGAAAGGCTTTAGATGGGAAAGGAGGGAGCACAAGGCAGAGCATCAGTGCCTGCCCTGGGATATTCTCATACCTGGCAGAGACAATGGGTATCCAGCCTGCTGGGTACACAATCTTCTCCCTCTCTCATGCACACTTTGCAGCTCTTCCTGCAGACATCTTCAAAGGGTTTTGCCTTCAATACATCGCAGGCAGGGGATTGCAGCAGCTCCAGGCAGGGATGCTTGAGGAATTTAGAAGCACCTCTGCTAACAATTGGGTCACTAAGTAATTGGTTGTAAGGGTCAGGACCCGAATAGATTTATGACTCCTAATTCCCAGGTTAGGGAGGAACAAGGAATGGAAACCATGCCTTGAAGTGTGCTGCAGCACTGGGATTAGGCAGCAGCTCCCACAGGCCAGCACAAAGCACACCGAGATATAACTGAAAGGAGCCCTTTGCCAAGGAAATGTGGGTCATGTCCTAATTCCCCCTTCCCAGTGTCCCCCACAGACACAGGGGAGGAGCTACTGTCGCATCCAGTGCTATTTTATAGCACAAGCACTGCCAAACCTCTACATGTAAGCATCATGCAAGTCTCTCCAGGCAGCAGGGTGATAGTTAACAGCTTCAGCTGCACTACCCATCACTGTGGTATCCCTGACCCCCCTCCAGGCATCTCCGTCCCCATCTCCCCTTACTCAAACAGGTAACCAGACAAGCTGAGAGCACTCAGGTCACTGGAGGCAGCCCATAGAAGAGTATCTCAGTATTCCTGGCTCCTACTCTTGCCCAGGAGTTCCTGTCTGCAACATCCTTGGCCAGCAGCTATTCAGAGAGGGACCGTGCCCTTTACCTGTCTGCTGTGCAAGGTGACACTGGCAGTAGGTGGCAATGGGCCAGTTCAGAATGGTTGTTACCAGTCAGCAACGCCCTGACGTCAGATGAGAGCGAGGAGACTCAGGACTTGGCTTCTAAAGGGGAAGCTGAGTCCATGACGGGACACTAGGAAAGAAGGAAAAGGCACTTGGGTCTTTTGGCTGCAGTGAGCAAATCTTTCACTGCTGCCCTGGAGTGCACTGAGTCTTCAAACCAGGTCACCGGTGATGCCATCACCTGCATCCTTTTCACACGGACCTCATGGGCCACATCACTTACAGACAAAGCCTCCTGCCAGCCCCAGCCATGGTATGGGTTGGCAGCATGGAGGTACCAGACCATGTAAGCACCAGACCATGTAAGCAGAGAATCCCCTCACATCATAGGCAGCAGCACAGGGCACATACATGAAGACTGAGCTATGAGGAGCATGTGATATTAATGGCCTTAAGTTTGCTGGTACACTGGGAATTGCAACTGAAGGAGCTTGAATCATTGATCCTGACTCACATCCCTTATAGAAGGCAATGTGGTTTGCAGCCAGCTCCAGCAGGCCAGGTGGAAAGGACGAAGACCCTCAAGAGGACCAAGCCCACCAAATCCAGCTTGCCTAAGGGTTTGGAGGCAAGGCTCCAGCACCTGAGACAATACAGAAGCCAGCACTGAGACTTCTTTGAGCGGCTGAGCCTGAAATGCAGCTGACAGAAAGCATTAGGGATCATCCTTGCTACCCAAGGTGCTAAGGAGCCATTCCATGTGGATTCTGGACTGCCAAGCCAAGAGACAAGTGACTGTTACGTCTGCCAGCTTCTGGTCTGCTCTGATTTAGGTGCTGTTTGCTGTGATTCATGAATCAGTTCTCAGGAAGGAAACTCATTTTGACATCCAAAATCCCGACGAATCTTACTCACTACCACACTGAATAGTATTTCTATCAGATGTGCATGGGTCAGGAGAGAAACTCAGGATGCAGATGGGAGAGATTCCACGGATGTTTGCTTGGCTGTAGTGATCACAACCAAAAGGCATTGTAGTACATTGCAAAACTACATTGAAGCATTACTGAGCTGCAAACGAAACCATCACCTCCTGGTGCCAAACACTAGCACAAAGACATCCCAAAGCTGTCGCTGAGGCCCTGTCCCTCCTCCTACCCTTAAACGTGCCTCATGTCCCATCCATGCTGGAAAGGGGCAGGAGCCCTCTGAAGCTCATTTCAGGTGGCCCTGTCTTAGGGGCAACAAGTGACCTGTATCAGCCTACTGCTGTCGGGGGCACAACCCGAATATCCACATGCTGCTGAATCACTCCAGAACAAACCTCCCTCTCGGTGGTCTCCAGCACCCCAAGACAGCACTGATGGGACAGCAGCCCTTGAAGTCAAAGAGGATTGGGCTCCCTTTACAGAGAGCCCATCAAAGCAAGGCTGCTGCTCCTGCAGTTTCCTGGCTTGGCACAGAAGCCTGATGGGTCGGTGGCTGTGTCCTGGCACACAGGGACCATTGCGTTCCTTCCTTCCTGTGGGGAAGCTGAGGTCCCAGAGCCTCATTCCTTGGAGAGGGAGGCAGAACCCAACCAGCTGCCTGCTCACAGGACCACCTCCATGAACAGGGATGCTCTAGCACAAGGAGAGCTTCCTGCCTTAAGTCACTGCAGAGGCCAGATATCCTCCCTCCTGCTTGTCCCCCCAGGTTACCACATAACCTGAGGCAACGTTTCTCCCTCTGCCCTTCATCCCTCCACAGCCAGCGGTACCAAACACCCCGTGTGCTTCCACGGAGCGCAGGCAAAGCCACACCGGCCAGAACGGCTTTCCCCTGGGCCCCAGCGTGTCGCTGCGGCTTATTCCCATACGGAAGGGATCGCTCCACGACTTGGCAGAGGACAGGGAAGGAGAACACGCTTGGCACAGATGCGCTGCCGGGCTTGGCCATGGACTGATGCCGGGATACAGAGCGGCAGCGGCTCGGAAACAGCGTCGGTGGCTGCTCTGGTACCCGGTAGGCAAAGTTGCGCCCTGAGCATCCCTCCTTCGGGGACATCCTCCTCCTTCTCCTGCCGGCCCCCCGCTATCCCCACGGATCCCAGGGCTCCCGCCGGGTCCGGCTCTGCCGCTCCCTCCTCCTCCTCTCCCTCGCCATGCCCGGTGATACTCACAGCTCCGGCTCGGTGACGGCCCGGCCCGCGGGATGCTGCTGTGGGGCACCGCTATTCCCGCACCGCCGGCCCCGCGGCGGGGAGACGGGGCGGGGAGACAAGGGGCGGGCAGGAACACGGCTCCTCCTCGGGACAAGGCGGCCCCGCGGCTTCCTCCTTCACCCGGAATAACCCCCGCCGCGGAGCGGTACCAGGGGGGAATCGAACCCGTGGCTCTGCAGAAGCGGGGGTCCCGCAGCACCGGCCCTGCTAGGACAGCCCGATGGGGGGCGTGGCTAGGGTGCGAAGGGGGCGTGGCCAGCTCGATCGCCCCGCCCCTCTGCGGGGCGTGCTGGGAGCGGAAGCGGCGGCCGCGTTGGAGCCGGGCGGGTGGCATGGCGGCAGCCGGGAAGAGGTGGGGGAAGGCGGGAGGGCTGGACCGGGGCCGCCGCGGGGATATGGGATGCTCCATAGGGTGCTGCGGCACCGGGGGGAGCTTTATAGGGTGCTCCGGCACCAGTGAGGCCTGTCGGGGGCTCCATCCCCGCGCTAGGGCCGCTCTGAGCGGGCAGGCCTTCTGAGTTCCCCCCTTCTTCCCTCAGGAGCCTGGCGGAGCTGAGCCTGGATGAGTTCCTCGCTGCCGGTTCCGAGTCGGAGCCTGACGGTGCCTGGGAGGAGGAGGAGGAGAAAGAGAAGGAAGCCAGGCCCGGCAAAGGGGCTGCGGCGGAGCGGCGGCTGAATGGGAAGGCGAGGCCGGCGCGGGAGGCCCGGCCGGCTCCGAGGTGAGGGCGCGCTGCTGCGGGGCGAGGCGAGGCGCGGTGCGGTGCAGCCCAGCGCGTTCATCGGCTGCTCGGCTGGGTGCGCTTTCGGTGTTGCCTCGTTTGTAAGCAGGGAGCTCATGTTATCTACCATAGAATGGGCTGGCTCTGGGGAAAGGGGGGGTTAAAAGGGCAGTGACCATGGTGGGGTTACGGGATACAAGATAGGTTTTCTGTTGTACCTGGGTCAGTTCAGTAACTGCAGTGAAGAAACGCTTATATGGGCTTTTAATCTTTCACAGGGTATATTGGATTCGGTCAAAGCTGACTTTAGTTTTCCCCGGTTTGTGTGTATTTGCTCTAACCAAAGGACTTTGGGGTGTCTGCAAGATACAAAATGAAGAAGTAGTTCTTAAGCAGTGATGAGCACCATTGGAAGCTAAAGCAATATTCTAATGCTGGATTGGATTTTATGAAGCTTTCATTGTCAGGTTTCTCTGGCAGTACCTTTATAAAGCCTATGAGAGTAATTCAGGAAAATTGAGAATTGATGTTCTGTTTTCATGCCCTGTGATCCTTATCTCAATATACTTTTTATCAATAGTTTAGCGCTGCATTAAAATAACTTTTCACAAGTCCTCTGGAGCAGGGGTACAGAGCTGTGGCACAGCCCTAATCAGCCCTCAGACCAGCCCCAGGTGTGCTTTAGTGGCCAGGAGTTGCTTGTTCCTCTGTCAGCAGAAGTGTGAGCAGTGAATAAATGCCTGTCAATTGTTATCCACCAGGAAGAAGGGAAAAGCATCTGAACACAAAGACCAGCTCTCCCGGCTGAAGGACAGAGATCCTGAATTTTATAAGTTCTTGGAGGAAAATGATCACACCTTGCTGAATTTTGATGCCTCGGACAGCTCGGATGAGGAGGAGGAGAGGGTGCATGTACCACCTGATAAACTGGAGGTATTTGAAGTGCTGAAACCAAGTGTTTCAATTACTTGTTAAATAGTTGAAGTTCAGTGCAAGGCTGAACTATATTTAGGCTTATAAGGGCACAGAGGGCTGGGGTGGAGCTTCCTCAATGATCGTCTGCAGGTGTGCAAGAGGAGTTTAATGGTGGTCAAAGCAGAGCCTTAGAGTGTGTTTTCCCTCTGGCTTTTGCTTTGTGTCACCTTTCCCAATGAGGGTTTGTTTTGCCTTAAGTGGTATGGTTTCTCCTGCATTTTTATGTTATTGTGTTTATGTAGCAGAGCTCTAATTTCATTACTGCCTTACAAAAAGTGCTGATAACATCATTAATAAACCCCACTGCTGCCTTCCTCTTCAGGAGCTACTCAGTAGAAGAGGTGCTGCCAGAAACATGTAAGCCTTCTCTGTTTTGCTGTTAACTTCTCTAGGTAGCGAGTGATGAAGAAGATGAAGGTGATGAACAACAGGCAAAAGTCAAAAGGAAAAGAGCTTCTTTTATCTCTGTGAGCTTGAAAATGGTTGAAGACTGGAAAAGAGCTGCAGAGGTGAGCAGGGAGTTCTTTAAACGCTCTTCCACACATGTTGCTGCCTCTAAAGGACCAAACTCTATTTGTTAATCTTTCACAAAAACCCATAGAGAAAATGTATGTCCTTATGTAGGTCTTATTCCTAGAGCTCTAATGACCTCAGCATGACTTCCCTTTGCAGTGTCTCTTGGGCTGCAAGGTTAGAGTATGTGCACTCAGAAGGGGTCAAAATGGTTAACTATGGATTTCATATCCTCTTAGAAGCATTGTGCCTTTGGCAGCCCTAGGAACTCCTTTTAGTCACGTTTTTAGTGATGAAATTGCTGCTTCTGCCTAAGAGGGGGAGGCAAAGGTCAGACTGGATAGTTGCTTGCAGCTGATTAATTGCTTCTCAGACCCCAACCAATTAAAACCCTGAAGCCCATTTGAGCACAGGTGGAGGTCATTAGCACTCATTAACTCCACCTCACACCTGGCTGTTAGGTGCAGCCATTTTTGCAGGCCGACTTACAATGAATTCCCAGTACTCCATCCCAGTGAAATGATTCAGAGCACTGCTTACCTTTTCTCCTCAGCAGTCCTTTCCTTCTTTCCCCAGAGAAACCTAACACCAAAACTATTCCATGCGATCACTCAAGCCTTTAAAGCAGCTGTAGCAACCACCAAGGGAGATGAAGGTGGGGATGATCCCAGCAAGTTTCAAGTCACTGATGCTGCAGGTGAGTTGGTCGCCTTACTACTACTGTGAGAGAGGGAAGTCATTTGACAGGGAAGGTTTAGCTGTTGGAAGAGAGCAGGGATAAGTACTGGCAGAAGTTAACTTACCCTTTCTAGGCTTCATTTCACATAAGTAGCTTATCTTCCTGGTGGTGTCTGTGCAGTGGGATCTCCTCTGGTGTCCCAGGGTGTAAGTGTACCTCTTGGTGTGTGTGCCTGGAGCAGCTGGGCTTGCAGGCTGCTGAGGAAAGTACCATTCTTCATTCACTAGGCTGCTTAGCGTGAAGGTGAAGCTAGGTACTATTTATATGCTTGTAGTACATGGGGGGTTTTGGACAACTTTTGCTGCAGCTTCTTGCTGTTCCCTCTTAGAACTAATGCAAGACTATTTTGGGTCTCACCAAATAGTGTTCTATAATCACAGAGCAGTTCAGAGTTCAGCTGTGTTATCGGGTTCACATTTCCTTAGCTAGGTCTAAGTAGCTAAGTACTGCATGTCTAGATCCCCTCTTTAGGATTATCATACTTGTAGAGCAATAGAGATGCATCCTCCAGTCTTAGTCCCCTTTTACATAAGCTCCAGGTCTTGCAGACAGTCCTGGTTTAGACTCACAACAGCATGGCTGAGAGGAAACATCTTTATTAGTGTCTTGGAGCTGCATATGCTGCAGCTCCCCTTACTTTTACCACTAAATTAGCAGGTACTTTCTCACTGTGTTTATCAGCTTGTTACTGTGTGCCATCTGGAACTGGCACTCTGGGGTGGGACTACTTATATCCACCTGCTCTCCTTAATTTCTGGCCCAGCATAGGGCTTTTTATATCTCTTTCATTGCTTTTGTTAAAATCTCTTTCTTTAATACAAGATACTACATAGAATTCGCATATTGTCCATTTCTGTGACTATTTATTCAGAAATGCCTTTAATTTTCATTATGTTTTGGGGGAGATTGGTATTACAGATCCCTGGTGATGGGTCAGACTGCTTTTGTGCTTGATGCTGTTCAGTCAGAGGGCAAAAAGATGGCTCCTGTGCCAGGAAGCTGTCCAGTTATAATACTGCTGTTTAGCTAAAGTCTAGGGTAAGATAAACTGCTCTTCTGTGGAAGCTTGAGGAAATGGAATAGTTCTGCTATGGAAATTACAAGCTTCAGTTCCTTCAGGAGCTCTTCTCAGATTGGGAATACATGGAAGATCATTTACCGATGCTTTACTGTCTTCTTTTAACCAGTGTTCAATGCCCTTGTGTCCTTCTGTATCCGGGACCTCTTCCATTACCTGCAGAAGCTGCTTTTTCCAAAACCCCCAAAGAATAAGCACAAGTAAGTCTGAGATTTGAGAACTGCAGGTGGGATAAAGGTGCTTGGGGCTTTTGAGAACTGCACTGTAGCTGGAAAAGCTGCCTGTACATAGGCAGAGTATCACAAGTGTGTGACTTGTTAATCCAAGGCTTTAGTGGCTGTATTAAGTCCTTCCTCATCCCCTGGAGGGAACGTTGAGCTAAACTTTAGATTCCTTGTTGACAATGGTGCCTAGTCTGAGAAGTAAATTCCAGTTCTTTGTGTAAATACCAGTCTGGTTTCTTCCCCAAGCATGACTAGTACAGACTGGAGCACTACTTCATGAGTTACAGCAAATGTCTCACAACTAGTTTGATCCCAAAATAGACTTGCTTGCTACAAGCCAGCTTGTTCTGTTCTCAGGCAGTGGCTGCAGAATGCCTGACTAGAAGATAGCATCAGTGTGATTCAGGTTTGCACCAGGCTTTCTGGTGTCACAGCTCCCTGTATCACACTTCCAGAGATGCTGGGAAGCTCTGAAATGAGTTTTCTCCTGCTTCAGGCAGTTTTCACAGGTTAGAAGTACTACTGCTCACCCATAACAGTTGTTACTCCTTTAACTTCTTGCTTTGCAAGTGGTTGTTCTTGTTCACTGGCAATATAGAGAACTGAGCTCCCTTTCTGATGCTGACATCTAGTTTATTTGGGGTTCTTCTAAACCTAAACCCAACTCTTGCTCCTTTCCAGACTGATCCTCCCTTCCACCAGCCCACTTTGGAGCAAGCTGCGACTGGATGTAAAAGTGTACCTTGGCTGTAGCATACAAGTAAGAAACTTCAGCATGGTGTTATTGGGGGCAGTCTGTGCATCACTGGGCTTCTGGTCTAAACAACTCTAACAACAGTGTCAGAGTCGTTTTTCCCTTTGGAAAGACAGTTACTCTAATTTTGAGGGTAACTTTCTGGTTATCACAATACTGGGAACCTTGGGTATTGGTTTCTGTGCCTTCTTGTGTAGGGGAGAATAAAGAAGACTGGCTGAGACTGCTGTGGTCAGAAGCAATCTCAGTGAGTCTAAAAGCCTTGGACATCTGATATTGTGTCTGTCCAGTTCACTGTCTTGTTTTGGAAGTATTTGGTCTAAAGATGTTGAGGTCCATAGGGTGGTTGGGTCAAAATAGGCAGCCTGTAAAGAAGGGCTGGGTTAATATTTTGGTACTTTCCTGTCTCGATTTGTCTGAAAAGTTAATATGTAGTGGGTTTTAAACTAGGTTGCAGTGTTGTGCTCCTGTATTGTGCATCTTCAGTTTAATTTTTGGCATTATGATCTTGCCACTTGTAATAAATGTGAAGGATGTAATGTCAATAACCTCACATATGCCATTGCAAGTATGCTTGTGTTCCATCCCACGAGGATACTCATCCATCTCCAGTTGCTTGTGTGGTTCAGAGACAATGGATGGATTAGTTCTGAAGGAAATTTCCACCCCCAGTTAATTTTTTGATTGCTTCATCATAATCCTCAAATTGGGAATATCAAAAACACAATCACATTTGAAATACTCATTGTTCAGAAGCTGAAGGAAGGGCATATAAGAAGAAGAACACACTCATGTCTTAGCGTAAGCTGGCAGAATGACTTAGCAGAAAGAGCATTTTCTGGTGTCCCCCAGCAGCAGGGGATTGCAGTAGAAGAAGAAAAACTGGCATTGCAGTCCTGATGAAGTATCCCTGGTCCTGTGCTTGCTTCCAAATCCCCTTTTTCCCAGGCTTCACTACAATGTTCTTCTAGCACAGTATCTTCTGTCCTTTTAGTATGTGAGGGACTTTGCAAAGGAGACCTGCTCAGTCCAGAATCCTTGCAGTGCAAGGAGGAGAATGAGGAGGAAAGTTTAAAGTAGAGGAAATGCCTCTGCTTCCAGTACCTGGGGTCGGAGGCAAGAAGGGGCACTGCATCAGGCATGATCTGTCTCAGATTGAAGTGACTTTGAGTCACTTCATCTTCACATTGGAACTGCAAACAGTTCTGGGTTTGGCTCCAGGTCAACTGAAACAATATAGTGTTTCTTAATAGCTTGTCTAACCTTTTCCTTGAGCTAGAGTTAACCTCTTGATACCCAGGAGTATTCCAGCTTCCCAGGAAAGAAATCCTGGTGAAATCCAGTAAGTTCTCAAGTTCATATGGCCTGTTTCCAAGCCTTGTGTAGACTGAGGGTGTCTTCATCGTGCTTTGACTGTAGTGAGACAGCACTGGTGTCCTCCAATCTGTAAGATGTCTTAAACTGCTTTTGCAGTGTACACAAGTGAGGTTTTATGTGATGAGCTCAGGTGCCATTAACAATCCATGTCCAGTAGCCTGAGCTCATATGTGTCAGGATGATGTACTTTCAGGGGTGTTATTTAACCCACCACATGTTTGTTGCTTTTCTGATACAGCTTTTGTGAGTTTGCTTGAGCTTCTTCCTATGGAAGCCTGGTATTCCAGGCTTTTATTAACAAAAATACTTGGAAACAGCTTATTGGTAAAAGAAGAGGTGATGGGGACTACGCACTAAATGGAATCATGTTTTCTTCTCCCTCCATAGCTCCTCTCTTGTTTAACAGAAGCCTCAGTTGGTGCAGCAGTCCTTCAGCATGTCAATTCCATAGTGCCTTACTTTTTGTCCTTTCCAAAGCAGTGCCGTGCCCTTCTCAAGGTAAGGCGATGTCCTCCATGTCATTTGGATTCAAGTTAACTTCCTTAACCCCTTCTGATGAGCCTTTTGTGGGATTTGGGCTGTATCCTGTGACACCTTAGTTGTTTGTACTCCTCTTCCCTTGCTTTTCTTTTGGTTCTGGAAAGGATTCCTGCTTCTTTTGTGTCACCTTTTCTATGTGTCGTGAAGCGCTGTCACACCGAGGTGAGTGGGCATGTAGCTCTGCCTGTAGCTACTACTAATCCCTATGCCAAGTGACACGGAGGTGTTCAGGGGAAGCTGTCTGCTTCCTCAGTGCAGATGGAGTAATTGCTGCCTGTGTGCTGCGTATGTGTGTATGTCTGTGATACTATTTCCCTCTCCAGAGCTGGGGGTGGAATGTATTTGCAGCAACTTAGTCACAACTGCTGAGCACTTAAGAAAAACAAAGGGGGTGTGGAAGAGGGCATCGGGGTGGCATTTAAATGGAAAGCTTCAACACAGCATTTAAATGAGGCTGGGAACCCTTTGATGCTAGAGATGACTGCTATACAGTGATTGGAGGCTGGTACATCTCATATCTGGAGGTGTAGCAGTCTGCTCACTGCTATAATAGAGAGTTAAGTAGGCTTTTTCAGCCCTGTGGTTGGAATCTTTCTGATTTCCTGTAGAGTTCATTACTATAGATTACTAGTTTTTGAGGCACCAGCCATCACTGTGGTCCTGCTGTTGCAGATACTTCCTGACAGAGCCTGACACATCCAAGTCAATCTATGGTCTGAACAGGTAAATGCAGGCAGGCCTGGGAAGAACCAGATCTATCCACTTGCTTCTCAAGAAGCTAAGAGGAGAGACCAATATACAATTGCTTTATGCAATGCAGAGATGTGTAAAGCTCTGATTAATGAGTGTACATGTCAGTGGGGGGGGTGTCTGTTGACCCAGACCTGTACATAAACTAACTTACCCTTCTGCAGCTGGTGTGGGTGTTTTTATGCTGCACTGGGTGCTCATCATCATGCCTGTACCGGTGACTAAGGATATGGCTCATCAGAAGTGCTGCCTTACGCAGGTCCTGTCTCTGGCTCCAAACCCTGTTGTTGTGTTGCTTGAATTAATCCTAGTGAAGGCCTAGGGAACTGGAATTAAGTCAGAACTATCACAAGGAGATGTATCTTGGGAATTGCAACCTATGTGCCTAGAAGGGAAAAGCATTGATAAATTCAGGACTCAAACCCTGGTATCCCCTCTCCAAAGACAAATACATTTTTAATAGCATTCTTTGAGGAGCTGGAATTTGGTGCTCATGGTAACTGTAGTTGTATTCTGCAGAATGCAGTGTAAGACCTCCAAATCACTCTTTTAGTTGGGCTGGAAGCTGTATTGGCCAAATGTGTGATGCAGTGTGATATTGCTGTCTTGGGGATGGTGAGGAAGATTAGGAAAGCCCAGGAGATCATCACATGCACAGGCTGGTGGTGCCTGTGCTCAGCAGCTTGACTGTGTATTTAGGTCCCTGAATAAGAGTGCATTTGTTTTTGACTTGCTAGTTTTGGACAGTTTCCTTTATTGCTTATGGCAATGTCAGCCTTGCCTTTTGTGTGGTCTCCCAGCTAGAGTGTGAGGACAGAATGGCTGCCAGTGCTGTGGCTGATGCTGTGACAGCACAGCCTGCCATCTTTGTGTCATCTTCCTCCTCACTTGCTTCTGTGGTGTGAAGGAGGGGAAGGTCAGGACTGCCTGTAACCAGGAAGGGCTCTTTATCCCTGCACTTACCTGCATCTTTTTATGTTCTGTTCCAGCAAGCAATTAGTTTGTGGAGCACAGGGGAGGAAACAGTGAGAGTCCTGGCCTTCCTTGTGCTCAACAAGATCTGCCGCTACAAGAAAGAGCTCTACCTGAGTCCCTTGCTCAAGGTAAGGCTGGTACTTCCTGTACTCTGCAGCTTTTCTTTCTCATGTTACCTTAGAGCAGCCTATTGGGTAGGACAGGTGCTGGGGATGATGCTGGCTACCTCCAGGGAAGAACAGAGTGATATCCTGCTTCCTACTACTGTCCTTCCTGCTGGAGGCATTCGGAGTCATAGCAGGGAAGGATGCTGGTACTCATCTATCTACTGGATAAGTACTCATCTTCAGACTTGAAGGCTTTCCTCAAGTGCTCACACACTACTTGGTGCTACTGAGATGCTCTGATCTTTCAGCTAATAGCTGAGGCTGCCAAGTGTGGTTTGCTTAGATACCACCGTTACAGAAAGAGGACTGTGACCAACCTTACAATGTACAAGTTCTCCTTGCAGAGAAACAATGGTATGGGCAGCTCCAAGCTCTGCTACACAGACTCTTTCTCATTTTCCCTGAAGAAACATCAGGCTGGATTATTATTTCCCTTTATGCCTTTGAAATGACTCGTAAAAGGAGCAGTTCACCCCTGGTTTGGACATACCTGGATGGGGAATGCTAGTGGAAGAATGGTTTTGTTCCGTTTGATATGGTTGTAATCTTGTCCTCTTTTCTGCACAGCAAATGTACATTGCCTTTGTGAAGAATTCCAGATTCACCTCTCCCAATGTCCTGCCCATGATCAACTTCATGCAGCGCACACTGACAGAGATGTATGCCCTGGACACACACACCTCTTACCAGCATGCCTTCATCTATATCCGTCAGCTCGCCATTCACCTGCGCAGTGCAATGACCATAAAGAAGAAGGTGGGTACACATCAGTGTGGAGGGAATGTATCCCCCTATGCTAGGGACTGGGGGCTTCAGAGATCACCCTGTAGTCTGTTATTTCAGCAAGGATGGAGAGAAAAGGTACCTGCAGGGTGGGAGTCACTTTTCCCTCCCTAGTTTATAAGAGTTTGTGGTGCACTTCCTATCTTCTGCCTTGGGCACTCTTTTTCCACTCTGAAGCTGCTGTTTACAGCCTGTGTCACAAAACCTCAAGGTAAAGAAGATTAGGAACCACCCTGGTGTGTGCATCTTTGCAGTGAAGTCCATACTATTTAAAGGACTTAATTGAACAAAGCAGCTCAGACCTTTTGGAAGCAGCCCTGATTTCAGCCACCTCCAGTCTGACCTTGGAAGTCTGAGTGGGATTGCTAATCCTGGCTTTATTCATGTTTAGCAAAACAGACCCCTGTGGATTAATTGTTCAGCTGCTCCCAAACATGGCAGGATTGGTGACCACTTAAATCTCCTGCCTATTCAGACATAGGGATAAATGAGCGGACATAAATGAAGTCTGGGCTGCATATGCCCTAATTGGATTGCATTGGCTTCTTACACCCTGAATTCTGGCCCAGACAAGAACTAAATCCAGTGGATTTCACAGCTGGGGTGGGTTGTAGGAACTTGAGATGACAACTGCACAAATCCCAGCAATAAGCCAATTTAAATTGAGCAGTCGGTGGCTGCGGGGAGTGATTACAAGAGCAGATTGTACCTTTGGTCTATGCAGGAGAAGCTGAGAACAGAGCTTCTTGGTACATCTCGGTGACCTGGTGAGAGCTGCTACATAACCAAAGGAGTTTGAGTGCAGAGGGGGGAAATTCAGATGAATTTCTTGCTGGCTTGAGCCTGTACTCTGGCATTACACACCCTTTTTCTGCCCTCTCTGGTCTGCAGAGGCCAGAAGACAATTTACAAGGGTGTGTTTGAGGTTCCAGCCTTCCTACCTGTGGGAGACCAGGACTGTGCATAAATGGAACAGTTAAAAGTTTTCCTAATGCTTGGCCACATCCCACCAGCTGCTGTGAGCTGGGTTATTAAATCACCCTTCTCAAATGTGCCATACTTGTGAAGAAAAGCAGTGTGTGTGTTGCTCATTGCTTCCTTCAGGGCACTAACTAGATCCAAATCATAATGCTGCCAGTGCAGCATCCAGACTTGCTGGTGGATGGTGGCTCAGCCACTAGCATCAGCAACAGCTAAAATGTTAGGTATTCCTCTCTCAAAGGTGTCCTCTTGGAGAATGCTGGATAGAATGAGACCACAGAGAAACCAGTGAGCTCCTCTCCAATGCCACATCTTCAAGTTTGTGCCCGTGTTCTTGCCTTTCCTACAGGAGAACTTCCAGTCTGTGTATAACTGGCAGTATATCCACTGCCTGTACTTCTGGTGCCGGGTTCTCAGCACGATCTACCCCAGTGAGGTCATGGAGCCATTGATCTATCCTTTGACACAGGTCATCATTGGCTGCATAAAGTAAGTAGGAGTTTTTTTTGGCTACAGTTCTCTTGCTCTTGGGGTAGCAGAGCAGTTACTAAGGGGTGTTACTGTTGCATGATTTGGATTTGACCTTGCATTGTAAGGAATTGAGAGCTGCTTCTGAAGTGTTGCAGCTCAAGATGTGTTGTGAACATCTATATGTTCAGGTGGTGAGGAAGTTGTGGTGTAGGTTACTCTTTCCTAGGCTAAATTCTCTGTATAATAGAAGTTGCACAGCCTGGACAGATCATCCTTCCAGTTGTGCACAGTGACAAAGAGAATGTCCTGACTTGCCTCAGAACCCAACAGTGGCAAAGAACAGAATCAAGTCCTCATCTCTGACTCTGTAAATGCAGTTAGAAGATGCATTCTTTTGTGCCTGTTTGTTAGAATTTGAAGAACAAGGACAAGTTTGTTGTTTTTAATGTCTCTGCTGAGAATTTGTCTGTTTTCCCATCAGTTTATATATAAATTCATATGCTTTGAAATGGCATTGAGGGAATTTCTGCATCTCTGGTGATCTCGGAAATCCTGTTAGCTCTGTTAACCAGATTCTCAGCTTTAAAACGCTACCCCCAGCCTTGAAAACCTCCCAGTGGTGATGAGGATAAGCAGATTTAAATGATCTTTAGAGTATGCTTGAGTATGCTTATATCCCTTTTCTCATCCCCCGTGTGCCCAGGCTGCTTCCCACTCCTCTTGTAGAGCTTTAGTTGTCTTGCAGATAAACCTAGGCAGTTTTCTACCTGGCCAGGCAGGTAAATAAGCTATGTGGAGCCAAGGGAGGTGAATTGGGTGAATCTTAGCAAGTAGAATAGTTTAGTATCTGTGATGGGCAGCGCTGAAGGACAGTTACTGTTTGACAAGGCTTAAAAGATCTGGGAACCCAACAGATGGGTTCTAGGATTGGGAAAATAGAAATAGATCCCACTCTGGCTTCCTTACTGAGCCAAGCCAATGTCCAGGATATAAAAAGGGTGGCTCCTTCCTGGACATAGGCAAACTCTTCTCAGTGCTGTCCAAATTGGGACTAGCAAGTGTATCTCTGTGCCCCATCCCCTGATGTGGATAGGTCTGTAGCAACTGAGTGGGGTGGAAGAACCTGGGTTGTTTCTATTCGAGGTGAGAGGATACAATAATCTAGCCTGCAGGTCAAGGTATTTCCTCTTCATGGGCCACTTTGTGTGTTTCTGGAAGGCCCATTTAGGGGGGGTGCATCTGCTTGAGGGCTGCTTTGTATCTGGCTGCTGCCAGGAGGTTTCCTAGTGGAGATGGCTTCAGTGACCCCTCCCTTTGTGTCTCTGGGCTGCTGAGCTTTGAGGATGCTGTGTAACATCTGGAATAGCTTCTTTCACATCTGCTCCTGATGTGTAGTACTCGGGGGTACATCCCAAGGGTGATAGGGTTGGGAGACTCCCCTTCCCCAGTGCCTCTTGTACCGGGAGGTGGCGCCTGGCTCCAGCACAAGGGCTGAGCAGGGTGTCTGTCTGTCCATGGGACTGATCAGCTCCTGGCCTCTTATGGGAGTGGAATGGGATGAAACCACCATCCATCGCAGGCTTTTTGCTCTAGGCAGGAACCAGGGCAGAACTTGAGAAGTGATTTTAGAAGTTAACTAGTAGAAGGCTGCCTGCTAAAATCAGAACTAGCTCCCTCATTTTCCTGCTCCTTCTTGCTTCCAAGCGTCTAAAATGCATTTAAACTACTTTCAATAATACATACTTCTGAAATAGACCCCATGTGTGTCTGGAAGTTACCTGTGCTCAAGCTGTGCTCCAGGGAAGTTGGACAACTGGACAAAGAATTGCTGGAATTAATGGTGTCTGACTTTTGGGATGCTGGGAAGGGCCTCATTGCAGAGTTTGCTCATGGAATTGCCATGGAGTAATGAGTGATGCTGTTTTCAAACAGCTGAAGGGTTGCAGTTAGTTTGATCCATGGGGGTTGGTGTAGCTGTTGCAGGGATCACAGAACATGGATATTTCCCCTTCCTTGCTTTGCTTTGTGCTTTTCTGTCTCCATGCTCCTTAAGTCCCTCCTTTAGATCTATGTGCTTGCATTTGAGTTGGTAGTTGGGGTTTCTTTGCAGAGAAGTTGTCACAGAAGCTCCTGTTCTGATACCCCTTTTCCCCTCATCTTACAAAGTGGTTTTCTGACCATGTCTATGTGGATTTCTACCTTGCTCCCAGCTTGAGCTATAGAAATGAAGTTCCTCCCTGGCTTACAGTTAAATGAGGATTTTTGGTGCCTGTTAAGGATTAGTTTCCAGCCTCTGAGCACATGGAGAAGCAAACACAACCTTGGTGTCCCTGAGCAGGTTCCCTTGGTGACCTGTCCTGGTGGAGGGAGGCTGATGTTGAAAGAACCTTCCTCTGTCCTCTCTAGCCAGAGGAAGGCTGTGGTCACCCAGAAGTATAACAGGAGGAGCTGTGGGAAGTAAATAGAAGCTTGGAGAAGCCTTTAGGCTGTTTTCTGCACCACGGCCCATGTCCTGGGAGGCATACAGCAGGCATTCCAAGAGGCAGTGATGGTAAGGCATTAGAAAGAACTCTCTGCTGAGATGAGTCAGTTTGAGCCTGCACTGTGGAGTGAGTGGGCAGTTGGACCGTCCCCAGCAGAGCTGGGACCCAGCTGTGTTTTGTATTCTCTGTGCATCCAGCTATTGGGAAGCGGGGCAGATTGTCGCATCCCTGCGTGCACTAAAATTAATGGCCTTGGTTTACAGTAAATCCATACTCTTAACAGGTTTATTCCTCGATCAATTAATTCCTGGGAATGGCTTTCGTCATCTCCACTGGTGTCAGAGCAGGGGTGCAGAGCAGATTTATTCCTGTAATGGATCCAATGATAATTATTTCACTATTTGGAGTTGGGGAGATGTAGGTGATTTATGATGCCTGCTCAAGCATCTTCTCTTTGCCCTCCTGGCTGGCTCTGCAGGCTCTTTGGGGAGGGGTTCATTGGTCAGACTTGAGCCTCTTGGAACTGTGGGGTTTGGGTTGTTTGGAATAGTTGTGGTTAATGCTGGAGCCATTCATGTTTTCAGGTACGGGTCATTCAGAGTGAGAGGTTTCCAGAGGGATACAGGAATGAGGTCTGTGTCCTCTGGCTGATGTGGTGCTGGGGGAGCTGACCCTTCTCGCACCCAACCTTACAAACGGAGTTGGCTCTACTTCTCTCAATACCTGAGTGCATAAGCATTTGAAGTGGGGGTTGAAGGAAGTCTGGCCTCTTCCCCTCCATGCTCATTACTGGCTGTTCAGATGTACATCTTGCTGCTCTGAAGGAGATGGGAGTAGCCCTGGACTGGGGAGTTGAAGAGATGTGGCTGTGAGAGGTTGCTCTCATTCCCATTCTGTCCTTTCTGATATGCTGGTCTTGCTAGTCCAGCATCTGCCTTGGCAACATTCCACACTAAGGGGTATGTTCAGGTCACAGCATGAACACTGGGTACACAGAGGGTCCAGAGCCTGAAATGGGAAGCATATTCCTCCTTGTAGTCTCTCTGGTGTGCTGGGGGAGCCCTTTTCTTAGCTAAACTTGCTGCTTTAGATTGCCATTTTACTGCTGGTTCCTACCACTTTTATTGCCTACCAACCTGTGCTGGGAACATGAGAGCTGCAAGTGTTGAGCAGCATCAGTGACAAACTTCATCTGCAAAGCTCTTGTAGCACTTTCTCCCAGCAGAAGCTGGAAACTTGGTGCTGTGGTTGCAGGAATGTGTGTTAGTGTTATAGCTTGAATGTGTGAATCCTGTTTCTAACTGTGGGATAGCTTCAGCAGCTCAGATTGCTGTGCAATACTAAAGCTGTCTCTTGGAGAGTAGGAAAAGCTCTCAAGTGTCACTGAAGGCTGCAGGTATAAACTTGCCCTAATGTCTATCTCTTTCCCTCTAGGCTGGTACCAACGTCTCGGTTCTACCCCTTGCGCATGCACTGCGTCCGTGCGCTTACGCTGTTGTCTGAGAACACCAGGACCTTCATCCCAGTGTTGCCGTTTATCCTGGAGGTTAGTTGCTTCCTGAAGACCTAATAAGAGCTGATACCTGCTACCTGATCAACACATTCATTCACTGTACCTACCAACAGCTCCCAAGGTTGCCCAAGTTGCTCACTTCCCTTTCAAACAGCATCAGACAAGGATGTATTGTTTGGTTAGCAAATAGAATTAAGCCTTTATTGGCCTGTCAGCAGAGAGTATCTAAGATCAGGTGGGTCCAAAAATGCATTCTGAGGTGGTTTAATGCAGCTTAGTAGGCAGCGGGTTTGCCAAAGAGGTTCACAGGCTCAAGTGATTGCGGTAAATCCCCAGTTACTTACTTGATGCTGCTGGTATGTTCATATCTTAGAAAGAAGAAGGGTTTCTGCCTGCAGACAAAGGGAAAGGAAGGGAATCCACAAGGGTCTTTGCAACTTTGCTGCCATGAGAAAGTGGTGCAGAAGTGGTGCACCCAAATTTCACTGAAGAAGCATGAACAAGGCAGGGTGAGGGATGCCGAAGCCCCAGTAGGTTAGCGTGAGGCTGGACACTGAAGAGGGAGGAGGGAGACTTCTATAATAAATGACCTGAGTCAGCCAAGCTCATTCCTAATCAAGTTCTGTTGAAGCAAAAGGTTTTTGTGGTTTCATGTTGTTGTAAGTGTCCTTTGCAAACCACATCCTCTGAGCCTATGGAAGGCAGTGGTGTTTATAAATCTCCTGCTCTCCTGCCTCCTCTGCTGCTCCTTGGCCATGCCCCATGTGGCTTTGCCATTTGCCTGCTTCCTTCCTCTCCTTCATGCATGTTTGACATCCTGCCAGCCAGATTTAGTGATAGCAACGTCTCCCCTCTGGGGCAGTGGAGCTGGGGGTGAGGATGCTTTTTGCTCTTTGGTGCTCTGAGAGAGAAAACCATTTTCCCCTAAGGGCCGTCCCCCTGCTCTTTGCCTTCTGGCCCCAACACCTCTGCTCTAATCTGTGTGTCAGGCCCCAGCCAGACATTACCACACTGCACACTGAGCTTCCTCCTGGCTTCTGCATCCCGACCACATCCGATCCTGCTGCGTGAGGCACTGCTCAGTTTAGCTTGTCCAGGTGCTGGTGACAAGGGAGAGATGGGGGTAGGGTAAATGTGTGTGTGTATGTTGCTTGCCTGCTCTTTCACGTTGCTTTATCAGTTGTTTTGCTTCAGTCTCTATAACCTAAGGGGAATGGGATGATGTTAAACTCAAACCTTCCTTCCACTGTCAGCTTTTCCCTTCTTTCTGCCCATCTCCTGCAAAGGATCCCTCTAACATCCTGTGGAGTTACCAGGAGCATTCAAGGCTATCCCCTTTGTACTTTCTCTTCCCAATTCTTTCCTCTCTGTTGCAATGGTATCTGAGTCCTCTTGCAACCCTTAGTGTGTCTCCATGAGCTGTCTCCAGGCAGATGTATTCCAGCTGTGTGGATGAGGTGGTAGGAAGCTTTAGCACACAAAGGTGAAGTGACCTTCCCAAAGTCCCAGGGTGGCTGTGGTGATGCTGGAATCTGCATCCTGATGCCCAGCCACAGAGCTTTAACTATGAGCCTGTTTCTACCAGCTTACAAATTCAGCAGTGACTTAGTCAGTGGACATTTGTCCCATACCACACCATGTCATGAAACAAAATCCATTTAAAGCTCATTATCCACATCATTATGAGATTCAAGGATCTGATCAGTGCTTTGGTTTGAAGCAGAAGTAAACTTTTGAGGGACATGACTGGAGTCTGGGGGGCAGAATGAAAACTTCCCAGCATAACATGTTTGATAGGAAGGAGGAAGGGCTGCTCTGCCACTGATGCAGTTGAATCCAAGTGCAGTAAAAGAATAGCTGTTGAGTTTGTGACCCTCTATTTTGTGCTCTTTTTAGAGAGGGCTTTACATGGCCTTAGAGTGTAGAGTCTGTGTGCAAGAAGTGACTGACTGTAACTGTGTTTCCCTTCCCCCTCCCCATCAAGCAAACCCAAGCCTTGCTACCTCTTGTCTCAGCCCTGTTGCTGCTGTGCTGTCCAGAGACAGCAAATTGAATGTCTGTACAATTCCCATAGGCACAGGAATTCCCCAAGCCCCTGCAAATAGCAATAAGAGCTGCCTGCCTGATGCATCTTGACAAGGGCTGATGCTCCCCAGCACAGGCATCCAGGGCTGTCTCCCCTCTGACTCTGCTTTCCAGGATGGAGCAGAAGCAGCTAAAACTACATCTTAGGAGGAGGTGGCCTGGGAGAGGGTGTGAAGCAGGCTTTGTTCTTGCACTGTTACTACCTTTGAAGGGCCTGTGGGATCCCAGGCTCTGCTTTTTCCCATCACTTCAGTTCCTGTGTGACAGGCAGTAGTTGCTGCAGCAGGAAGACTGGTGGCTCATCTGCTGGAAGGTGGATAAAGAAGGTGGAAATCTCCCCTCAGCACACTTCACATGCCAGTTTAAGGCTGGCATCCCTGGTGAGGGATGGGGAGAGCAGGTTAACCCTGATGTGCTTAGGGAGGCAGGAGCATTTCTCTTTGACACTTGAATGGCTTGGGTCATGCAGTTTGCTCCAGAAGTCCTCAGGGGCTTGGAGTGCAGTATCCAGTGGGTTGTGTCAGAAGAGCTGGTGTGAAGGTTGTGCTTGGAGAACTGATAATGCTGGAGCTTGTCCTACATTTAGCACAGATCTGAGTTTTCTACAAGACATGGGCTCTTCGCTCCCTTTAAAAGGGAGGCAGAACTGGAAGCTGAGACAGAGCAAGCTCAGCCACTGCACCAACTGAAGATGGATCTTTCCTTTCCCTCAGTTCTTGTCCCTCCACTGTTACTTTGCAGCTCTTAAATTCTGCATTACAGCCCTGCAGGTACCAGGGGTTGTTTGAGGGAAATCATGCTTGACCAAGCTAATAGACTTCAGTGAAGAGATGATGGGCTCAGTGGATGAGGGGAGAGCAGTGGATGTTGTTTGTCTCCTCTTTATCAAGGCTTTGGATACCATCTCCCCATAGCTTCCTCACAGACAAGCTGATGAATTGCAGGCTAGATAAGCAAGCTCTAAGGTGTATCGACAGGCAGCTGATCTTCCAAGGCTTATGCTGTAATCAGGGGCATGAAATCTAGCTAGAGGCTAGTGATGTACACTGGAAATGGATAGTGGGGCTGATAGTGGTTATCATATTCACTGATGGCTCAAATGATGGGGCAGAGTGGCACCATCAGCAGCCTTGCACGTGATATGAAGCTGAGAGGAGGCTGTCTTAGAGCTTTGCCAGCAGTTTGATTGTGGTCTTTTCCCCTCTGCTGAGCATTAGTGAGCCCACAGCTGGAGTGTTTTGTCCAGTTCAAGGGGTGAGAAATATGGACATATGGGAGTGAGTCAAAGAGCTGCAGAGGTGAGGGGAATGGAGCATCCTTTCATGTGAGGAAAGGCTGCAAGAGTTGGGACTGTTCAGCCTCAGGAAGATGAAGATCAGGGATAAAGGTCCCTGAGCACTGGCACTGGTTGTCTAAGGAGGTTGTGGAGTCTCCATCCTTGGGGATGCACAGACATAATTTGGACATGGAGCAGGGCACAAGATGACTTTGAGAGCTCTCTTTCAACCTCATTTATTCTGTGAATAAAGAGTTTTGAAGCCAGATTTCTCTCAATGGCAGTTAGTGCTGAGAGGCAATAAGCAGAAACTGAAATACAGGAGGTCCCACTTAAGCACTGGGGGGGGGAAACAACCCCAAAACCCACCCCCCCAAAAAAAGCACCCAACAGTTTTGTAGGATGAGGCTAGAACAGGCTGCATAAATCAGCGTCTGTCCTTGGAGATACTCAAGATATGAGTAGGAGGTTGATGCCAGGCTTTAGGGAGAGCTGCAGGCAGGCCCAGCAGAGCTCTGGATCCTGCTGTGAGCTGGCCTGGGGCAGCCAGCTTTGGGTTGATCAAAGAAGATGCCAGGAGGCTTTTGCTAGAGCCTGAGGGAAAGAGATGAGGTTGGAGGGGGTGGAACAGCGTGAGTGCTGTGGGTGCAGTGTTGGGTCTCTAGTTTGCACTCTGCCAGTATAAACTGTGTGTGAGCACCCTTCTCACTGGCCATGTGGAAGTCATCTGTGAGCTTGAGCTTGCCAAGAAGCCTTCCCCTTCCTGCCTGTGTTGCCCTGTCCTTTCCTCTGTGGTTATCACTTCAGCCAAATTGTTGCCTTTTGCTATTTTCTGGCCCTCTAGTCCCTCATTACCACCTTTCCCCCCTGCTCCAGCATTCCTAGCCATCAGTCATCCTCTCCTGCATAGTCTGGAGATGGGGGAATCACATTTTCCCCCTATCCCACACATCCTGACTGGGGCCTGGGAGAGTTTCAAACCCTCTGGTTGTGTTTCCCCCCTTGCCTAGTGGCATCCCCCAGGGCCTGATGCCTTTTGCTTTAATGTGTCTGACCTTTGGGATCAATACTGCTGTTTTGGCCAAAGAAATAACCGTGCATAACAAGGTTTATAGCATCGATTCCCAGGCCTGGTGCTCTTTGTTTTCACAAGCCACCAGGTTTGTGTCGTGTCTCCCCCCCCACTCCTTCCAAATAATCTGGATTGACAAATAAAATGTACTGAAATCAATAGTCGTCTCCATGCTTTTCTGCCCTGGGGGCACTGGGGTGACCTGAACACCCTCCCTTGCCTCCTCACCTCAGCCTCTAGCAATCAGTGTGCTGCATCCCCACCTTGCTGGGCTGCTTGGAGGCTGATGATGAATGTCTTGCTGCTGCAGAGAGGGAAGGGAAATTATTTCCTGCTTAGGAGTGCAATTTATAAGCTTTGGGGACAGGGATAGAGAAGCTTTGTGCTGCTTCTGAGGTGCTCCAAAGTATGGGTGAGCAGGATGTGCTCCTCAACAGCCTCCTCAATGGTTATCATACCATTACTAGAGAACACCTCCCCTGATTGCTGCTTGTTGTTCCCTGATGGGTGTCTCTGGGAAGCTGCCCGATCAAGCTGGTTTTACTGCTCTTACCTTCTTTCTCCTGAGGTCTGCCTCTATCAGCATAGGAAAGAGCATCTTTCCTATCTTTTTCTCCTTCCTGTATCGTAGCTTCAGAGGAAGAGCAGCACAACACACAAGGGTTATTGGGGTAACAGTACCCTGTTGCCTCCCCAGGGCAGAAGGACCAAATCACATTGTAGCTTGAGCTGATTTCAGCTGAAGATCACTTCCTTGTGTGCCAGATGTGGCCTTGCAGGGAAATGAATGGAGATTCTCATTCATTCATGTTACTCCTTCACCAGTGAAGTTGGGAAACTCCTCCCAAAAAGGAGTAAGGAAGGGGCTTTCCTAGTTCTTAGTCTCAATTCCAATTTGTTAAGTTTTAAGGCAGTAATGGCTCTTCTGAATTAAAGCCAAGCTTGAGAGCCACACACATATGTAACCTTCCCCTCTGTTTTCTTCTTTCTATGTCAGCTTCATACCTTCATATTCCTCTCCCCAGCCATTATCATTAAGCCCTGGAAGAGCACAAAAGCAGAGGTTCAGGTCTGCCTTTTGCCTAAGCATCCATCTGAACCCCAGAGCTTGTGTGTGCTCATCACTTGGATGAGCAGTGTGCATGGACTCCTCTCAGACTCTGGGAAGGAGCCAGCATGTCCCTTGCTATCAAATGAAATGGCTATGGGGAAAAATGTGCACTAATTCAAAGGCTGTTGCGTTAGAATTGGTACAAGGGACACCAGTGGGAAATGGGTTAGAATAAAAACCTTGCTTGGTGAGGGGTGTTCATAGAGTAATAGAATGGTTTGGGTTGCAAACAACTTTAAGATCATCCAATGCCAACCCCCTGCTGTGGGCATGAATAGGGTTTACTGGTTTCTGCTTCCTGGGACAGTTGTTTCAGTGACAATAAAAGGGTAATGGATTTGGTGTAAGCAACATTTACTATTGCTTGTCCCTTAAGGGACAGCTCCAAAATGCACTCAGGCTTTGTATTTCTGCCCATGAGAAGCATGAGTCTGAGGAACAAAGCTTGAGTTTCTTGTGCTGTTGCTTGTGTTGGTTTCTTTTAACTCACATTTCTGGGGCATCTTTCACACCCAGGTCTCTAAAGCTTCAAGTGTGGTTGGTGTTTGCTCCCTACCTGTCCCTTGCAAAGGTATTTGAGCAAGCTGGGGGACAGTGATCAGAGCAGGCAAGCAGGAATCAGGATTTGTGGGTTGGCTTCTCAGCTCTACGTGATCTTTGTTGAGTCATTTGGTATTTGGTTCGTGCTGGGATCATCTTTACACTCGTTCTTTTCTGGTGTAGGTTTTCCAGCAAGTGGATTTCAACAAGAAGCCAGGACGTATTAGTGCTAAGCCTATAAACTTCGCAGTGATCTTGAAGCTTTCCAATGCCAACCTGCAGGAGAAGGCCTATCGAGTAAGTGGAACCCCAGCACAGCTTCTCTGAGCAACAGGGTTGCCCTGTCTTTGTGTTCCTGTCCTTAAGCTGGAGACTCATTTCCCAAGGTTTAGTTCCTATCTGATATCTCTATTTCTCCTTCCCCTGCTCAGGATGGACTCATTGACCAGCTCTATGACGTGATGCTTGAGTATCTTCATTGCCAAGCCTACAGCATTGGATTCCCAGAGTTGGTTCTCCCTACTATCATTCAGGTAAGGTTTAAGACTCTTCTTGATCATGCTGTAAATGTGCACGAAGCAGGATAAAGCTGTTTAAGCTAACAGGGAACTCAGGGTGGTCCTCATAAGGTGAGGGAAGAGCCATTTACCTTTTCTTAGTTACAGTTTTCTTTGTGTTTTGGGGGATTCTTAGGAAGGAACAAATCTCTAGAGGCATCACATCTAATTAGGAGGCTGAAGGTAGGTGTCAGTGGAGTTGGTTGCTCTTTTGGGAGCCAGAGTGGAACAGAGAGGGCTGTGTAACTGCTGTAGAGATGTGGTTTTGACTACAGAACACAGATGGGTTCTTGCCTGTTGGAATTGTGTTGTCTCAGAGCAGTGTCTGTGCTGTGATCCCGTGCCTCACAACCTCCCTGGTGCTCTCCACAAGATGGCAATCTTCCCTCCTTTCACAGTGCTTCCGTCAACTGGGGCACTTTCTCCCCAAGTCCCTCCCTACAAACCAGTACAATTCTTGTCTCCCACCTAACAGTGATGCCTGCAAAGTAGTCTCCTTCCCCTCTCCCCTGCCATTCCACAGTGCAGGATGTTCTTCCTAACCACGTCCTGTTTACATACTTCATTGTCTGCAATCAAGCTGCTGAAGAGTGCTGTGCAGCTGGGTGCATTGTGCATAATCCTTCCCTAATACCTTGCTAGCTGGGTGGCTTTGGTTTTGAATGAGCAGTGACCTCTCTGCTTTGAACAGTACGATTGCTTAGTGCAAACGTGTTGGAACTTGTTCCCTCCCTGCCTCTCAGCCCTATTTTTAACTCATGAGTGGCACATGTCACACTGTTACATCCTCCATGGGGACATGAACCTCTGCTTTGGTGCCTGCCAAGAGACCCTGTGCCTGCACATCTTGCTGCTGTGGTGCCTCTGGTTGCTGTGGGTGCAGTGTCTCAGTGGGGACCCACTTGGGTCTTGTTTCTGCTCTGTGTCATAGGCATCTGTCAGGCGCATGACTCTTGGCTGGGTCCCTGCAGCTTGGCACGGCCCATGCCGAGCTGGCAGCAGGGTGCTTTGGCTAATGTGAGCTGACAGGCACTCTCTGTGCTAGGGGAGCAGCTCCTGTGCTTGCTCTTTGCGTGCCTCTCCCTTATTGGCAGTGAACAGGGCCCTTTCCTCTCAGCCAGCAGCTGCTGAGAGCATCGGAGCTGTCGGAGCCGATGTTCTAGCTGGGATGAGAAACGGCTGACGGCCCTCTGGCACCCAGCACCCTGTGGCTTCCAAACACACCCTGGGACCAGCCTCTGTTTCTGCAGAGAATGAATGCTATCACATTTCTAGTTGGCTGCCACTAACCGCAGCCTCGTGGCGTCTGCTGGGCTGGGGTGCTGAGGTTGGCTTCCCAAAATCTCCGAGTCTTCGGGAAAACGTGTGTGTGTGGGGAAGGCTTTTCTCCTGGAAAGCTTCCAGTGAACTGTACAAATCCATCTGTCCCGATTCTTCCTCCCCGATGAGCTCACGCTTCTCTCAGTGCCGTGTCGCAGGGGCTGTGTTCCAGCTGGCGAGGGGTTGAGTTGCTTGTCTTCTGGTCAGCGGCTTTGGGAGCAGCCAGGCTGAACTGCCCTCAAACTGAGCTTTCAATCCTCCTTGCCTGGAAGGCAGGAAGCACCCCAGCACGTTAAAGGAAAGGAGAGGCAGAGCAGGAGGCAGTTCAAAGGATCCTGTTCTGCCCAGCCGATGGCACGACCCCATGGTGATACTGCCTCCACAGGCTGGTAAGGAGTGCAGAGCCTCCGTGTCTGGATGCTTGGAAGAGACTGCCTCTTCCTTTCCCTCCTCTAGAGCCCTGACAGGCATCACATAGGGAGGTTAAAGGGAAGACTGGGCAGGATAACGGGGGGGGTTCTGCTGAGTGAAGGCAGGAGATGGCATGGCCGAGGCAGGACTTGCAGCTACAGAAGGGAAGGGGGTGCTGGTTTGCCTGGCCAGCAGCCACTCCTGCTGCTTGTGCTCTATCCCAGGCTGAATATTCCCTCTGCTTTTTGTGGGTGAGGGATTGGGCTTGATCTGGGCTCCCTGCAAACCGTGCCCAACCCCTTCAGATCATTTCTGGTTCCCTGCGTTGCTTACAGGAAGAGGAGCTGGGTTTTGCTGTGGTCTCTTGGGGTGTAAACCACTGGTGTTTAAGGCAGGCAGTTGGACAGTGTCATTCCCACTAATCACAGAGCTGCTTAGCTGGGACCCAGTGTGAGATGTTAATGATATATATGCACACACACACGGGTTCTGATTGCCTTTATTCTGCAGAGATATGACTGTTGTGTTTGGCAGAGTGGAGGAAGACACACACAGAGTCCCTTTCTCTCCTCTACCTTTTTTACCTTCTTGGTTGTGTTCCCTGCCTCAACACAACACTGAGGCCTCATTATGTTTCATTACTATCTGTGGCAGACAGTGGGACTGTGAGGGATTGCAGGGGTAGGAGAGAGGAGGGGGGGGGGGAAGAAGAAGAAATGAGGCATAGGGCTGTGAGAGCAAGCACCCAATGCCAGACTGCACAGATACTGGCAGAGATTCTGCAGGATTTCTGGTGACACTTCTGCAGTGGAAGAGAAATGATAATGTATGTGGCAGCGGATGGGATGGATCTGGGGCTGCAGCTGGGGGGATCAAGTGAGATAAATGGAATGACAAATGCATCTCTCAGTGGAGATAAATATGCAGCACCTATAAAAGAATGGTTTAGAAAGAGGGGGGTGAGACTAGGACAGTCTTCACCAGCAGAATGGTTTTGCTGAAGGTTTCTCTGTACTTGTTTGATGGGCTGGATGCCTTGTGGAAAGGGGGAAGTGTTCATTTTAACTCCCATTTTCCCAAGTTGGATGTACCATAGCAGGTTGGGTGTATGCTGGGGATAAAGGGACAAGAGAAGTCCATGCTGTTAGGTGATGGGGGACATTCTCCATGTAGCAGACAGCAGAGCTGCAGCAGTATACCCATCAGGAGAGTGGCGTCCTGACAGAGAGGGGCTAGGTGTGACTGTCACCTCTTGATCAACATTTAATACCTACTCACATGTGAGATGAAGCAAGCCTATAGGCTTGATGGGAAGGAGATATCATCTTCCTTCCTCCAGCTCTGTGTTTTGAGGCAGAACATTTGAAGCTATAAGCAGAGAAGGCAGGACTGTGTCTGCTGACTAGAAACCCTTCATCTCTATCAAGATAGCATCTGCAGGTCCCAGCTGAGATGAATGTTCCATTGTGGTTAACCATTATCTTCTGCCTTATTGGATCTCTTTCGCTAAATCAAGTGTCTTGTGCATTGTATATTTGTGTGTGTATGTATATATATGGCTCTAACAAAGAGCTTGGCCTGCAGAGTTTGGGCAGCACTCCAGAGGCTTGTCTTGGAGTTGGTGAAAACTGTTAGCAGACACTGTAGTAAACTGGAATTCAAGCCATGAGTCAATGTGGACATCCCCATCTCTCTTTCTGTCAGCAAGAGCTTCCACTGCTTCCTCAGCTTTTAGTTTGGAGGTGGCAGAGCAGTGCAGTGATGTTGGAGGCTGGTTTTTACTGGGAGGGGAAATCTTTAGCAGAGAGAAAAGAGGTTTGCTAGAGGACAACTGGGGTAAAAAGGAAACCAACACAAAAACGTGCAATGAAGTGTCTTTGTCTGACGGTAGTGAAGTGCCTTGGATGCAGAGAGAGAGCAGGGCCACATTCTCTGTGAGTAGGATGGTCCTTGCCCTTTCTGGCTGTAACAAGGTTTGTGTTTTCCTGGCAGTGGCTCTTGCCCTGAGGGTTGCATGTAAGGTCTAAAAGAAAGCATCCTGTAGGCACCTGCTACACAAGTTGTCACAGAGAGGCTTATTTTGGACATTGTTGGGTGATGGGGGTGTGGGTTTGCACCCTTAAATATTCAGTGGTGCCAGTTGGGGCTGGGTTGGGACAGTCAGACATAAAGCAAACTTCACCCCATGTCACCCATCTGTCCTGACCCACAGCAGGAGCACCACGTTTCCCTCTGTGCTATGACAGAGACTCTTACACCCAGTCCACAGGCACTTCCACCCCAATTTGAAGTCTCTCCTCAAACTCTGCCTCCAGTCCCAGCATCAGTCTCATTCACAGCCTCTTGTATTTGGTATTCCCATTCCAACACTGACCGTGCTTTTCCTAGAAACCCTTTATCATGATAACATCTGCAGGTCCCAGCTGAGATGAAGGTTCCAGTTTCTTGTGCTTTTGGTCATCTATCATCCACGTATCCACTGTTATTTCTTGTCTCTGCATCTGGTCCACAGTCCCTCATTCTATTTGGCTGAGCAGGAGACAGTGATACTGCAGCTGTGATGCCATCTAGGAGCAGAGGCCAAAGAGAGCTCAGGCTTTATTTCCTGCTGGCTGCTTGGATTCCACTGATAACTCTTTTCCAGAAAGAAGTAGTGTTACAGGGTGCAAAGAGCTGGGTTTGAGCTGGATTCTGTACAAACATCTGGCCTGTCACTGCATCCTCCCAGCCCCGGGTAGCAGTACCCCAAGGGTGATACACTGGCGTTATGGTATGAAGCGAAGGGAAGAGGTGCCCCATGGGGGTGGGATCTCTTTATGGAAATGATTACATTGCTTTCATTCTTGCTCTCGTTTTCTTCCTCCCAGCTAAAATCCTTCCTGAAGGAATGCAAGATTGCCAACTACTGCAAGCCTATCCGACAGCTCCTGGAGAAACTGCAGGAAAACTCTGCCTACATCTCCAGCAGGCGTCAGAAAGCTGCCTTTGGCGTGGCCAGCAAGGAGGCTGTGGTGAGCCTGCTCCTTCCATCTGGGCTTCCTGGAAACACAGACAGGCTGCTGCTGCTGCTGGGGTTGGGCCAGTGGCAGAGGGAGGGGGGGACAATGGGATCGTGGAAATGGGAGGGTGTGAGGTGGGGCAGATGCTCACAAACAACTGGACACAGCCGGGCTCTGATGCTGTGGCTGGCAAGAGCCTCATGGAAAAGAGTCCATAAATTGTGCCCTTCTGTTATTTATAACACACAGACATGCATGGAAGCACCTTGCTTTGCTGGGGCATCTTTGATAAGAAACTTCTTGGTTTTCATCATTCGTTCCTGTGCCAGTTTGTGCCTGAAGTGATGGGAGGTATTCTGCTGCCTCTATATGAGTGGTGTTTACTCCTAGTCTGTAGAGACCAGACTCCAGCAGTGTAAAACCCAGCCATTGGCTGACTGATATCTGGCAGTTTAGGATCCTGAGGCAAGCCTTTCCTCATTTTCCTGGGCCCTTGTGGAGACAGAGCTATAGAATCAGGGAAGTTATGAGCCGTAAGAACAGTCATCAAGCATCTTGCACTGCAGTTGCTTCTCAAGAGAGATCGTGGTGTATTCTCCTCTCTGCAGCCTAAGCATCCTGCCTGCAGAGCAAATGCTGAGCGTATCTGACACCTAGAAAAGTTGCTTTGGATCTGGGTGGTTCTTAATGCCTGTGGAGTAGTTGAGTTAAACATCGGGTTTCTACCTTAGTGAGGAGATGAAGAGGAGTTGCCTCTGGTGATAATGGAGGCCCCCCTCTTGTCTTAGGAAATGAACTGTAGCACAGCTAGAAAACAGTGTGTTAGAGGGTGTGTTAGCTAATAGTTGGCCATCTGGCTTACCAGGCTGAGAGATGCTGCCTTTTTCCTTGTTTTCCCTGCTCCAGGAGTTTGCCTGCTCTGAGCCAGGTCCTCCTGGGGACGATGTAGCATATTATCAGCACATTCCTTTCAGTGTTCTTGTTGGAGCTTTTCCCTTTTGCCTTGCTCCATCCTTCTTGGCTGCCCTATCCCTGGCAGTGTTCAAGGCCAGGTTGGACTGGGCTTGGAGCAGCCTGCTCTGGTGGAAGGTGTCCCTGCTCATGGCAGGGGGCTGGAACTGGATGAGCTTTAAGATCCCTTCCAACCCAAACCATTCTGGAATTCTTTGGGGTCCTCTTGACCTGACCTAAACTCTGAGGTATTTGAAATCCAGGCCCTATGTAAATGAAGCCAAATGGAAGGAAGCCTTTTAATGAAGCTTTGTGTGTCCTTTGTGTTGGACATTTCAGTTTTGCTTTTTATCCAACACAGCAGCCCTTGCAAGCCTGATAGTAGGTGAACTACTGAGAGGAAGTAGTGGGTTTGGCTTTCCTTTCCTGGCAGGATTGATGTGAAAATGTCTCTGCAAGGTGATCGATGGATCAGAGTAGTCTCTGTCCATATGTTATCATTGGGAAGTCTTCAGTTCTGCATCATTGGAAAACTCCATCTATTGAAATGGAGCTGAGCATGGCGCAGCAGTTGCAGCACAGACTAATTTGTTCTCAGGCACTAAGATGCAGGGACTGCAGGAAAATTAGCCTTTAAAATCCTGGCCTATCAATGCCAGGACCCAGCAGCACTATTCTGGCATTAAGGGGTTGATGGAGCTGGGTTGGAAGTGTCTCAGTGTCTGATTTGGTTCTGTAAATGGCATTCTGGGCTGGCCTGTTTTGCTGAAGGAATCACACTTCCCGTCTGGGGTTGAGCGGTGAGGCTCTTGTGGCTTTGTATTTGTTACAGGCAATGCTGTGACCACCCACCCGCTCTGCAGAGGCAGAGACTGCACCCTCTGGGACTCTGCATGAAGCAGATGAGCTGGGGAAGTCGTTGGCTGAATAAAAGTGGATTTTCAACAACTCAGCCACTGTCTGCTCTTCCCAGCAGCTCTGGCTGCAGTCCCTTGTGTCATACTAAGTGGTTCTTTTAACATCTTGCTGCCTGGAGGTCTCGAGTTGACAGTGATGCACTTGCTTTCCCAGGGATGTCTGGGTGGCTCAGCAGCAGGGATCAGGCAGTTTTGGCTCTGGAAGGGTGGTAAGAGGCAGGAGGATGGTTAAGGGGAGCAGGCACCGGTTTGCTAAGCCTGGTTGGAGATGGACGTTCTGCCCTTTAAGGGGATAGAGGAGCAGCAGTGTGGAGTGCTGCTCAGGGAGGATTGCCTGTGCAGTCTGTATTTTATATCGATGGTGGTGTGCTGTGGGAGGAGGGAGCCTTTCTCTTCCTTCACTTAATGGGGTATCAGTGCTCCTGGGTGCAAACAGCCCTCTCAGTACTTCCATGGGGTGGAAGAGCCATGGTGGCTTCTCTTTTGTGCCCTTGTGTTTTCCCCTTACACCTTTGCAAGCAGATGATGCAGGTTCTTAAGAAGAGCCATAACTCCCACAGAGACCAGGCTTCCCAGAATGGTTTGGAGTGTCCCTCAAAGTCTGGGTTGAGTTTGCCAGCCTGTCTCCAAGATATGTGGGGCATTGGCACTTCTCATCAGCAAACACTGCCAGGAAAGGCAAGGGAAAGAGGGGGGGTTAAGGAAGGGGAGGTATTTGCATGTCCCTCTTGCCAGCAAGAGCAATTGAAAGCAAATGCTTTCTGGTTTTCACATGCATGCATTTATGCCTGCTCCATTGTAATGGAGCTCCAAATTCGGAGCTAATTCTTCCATGCAGTGTGCTGAAATGTGGCTTTCGGGGGGGGAATAAGAGTATTGGGCATGCTTTAGAAAGGTGGATTTTACCTAAGGGTCTGTATATATAAAATAGATATAATTAATATATATTAATATATATATAATTTTAAAGACACAGCCTGAGAACTGAATTTAGTGCAGTAGAGGAGAGCATGATGGTGCAATGTTAACTTAACATGGAAGGATCCCTCTGTGCATCCCGGGAACCATGGTAAGGAGGGATAAGCACACCAAATGTGTTCAGCCTGACTTCTTCCATGTAATTTTAAGATTGAGAACTTCTCTTTTCTTTTCCCTGTAAGCAGCAGGTTAATATTTGAGGGTCAGTGCTTTTTGAGAGTACTGATAGGTCACTGTAATAGTTAATGTGAGGGGAGCCAAAGAAAGCAGAGCCTGCGGCTGAAGTGGAATCCAGATGCATAATGTGCAGCTGTGATTTTAGGGTTGCCTGCACTGGTGTGGGCCCTGGATTGGCAGGGAAAAAATGCAGGGAAGGGGAAGGAGAAGGAGCTGCAGTGTGTGCTGGGCTGTGTCACAGCTTTGCCCTGAGCTGGGGAGCCTTCATGTAAGAGCAGTGCAGGCCAGCGGGCTGTGGCGCTTAACGAGATGTGAAGTGTAGGGAATGAGCTGATGGAAAGTATTGCCTTGTTTCCATGGGTTTTCCAGATCTTCTGAGTTCATCCCCATCTCACATACCAGTTGGGAGGGTTTTCTGGAGGGCGGGTGATGATCTTTGGTACATGGGATGTGGGCTTGAGCCGTGCTGGGTGTTGCCTGATAGTACGGTGATGCAGAAGCAGTAATAGAAGCAGACTTAGAGATGGTTAAAATGGGTGGGATGGCATCCTTTCTTTCATGAGGTGTTCTAAGTAGAAAGATGGGAGTGTTTTAATGGTCTTTTTTATCTCTGGGTTTCAGCTCCCTGTAAAACCAAAAGAGCTGTATCAGACAGAACAAACAAGACTTTTGCCCTCTGCAAGAAGAGCCTTTCTCAGAAGCTGTCCATCCCAAACAGCATTAACAAATTGCCTGATTGCAGCTGGCAGCCTGATAGGAGCCTGATGTATAAATGGGGTGACTTTGTCCTCCTTGGGAATTGCTCCTCTTGCCACACAGTGGTGGGTCAGATTGACAGGAAAGCTCTGCTGTCTGTTGGCTGGCGTCTGGGCTCGCCAGCGCTGCTGGAGTCAGCAGTACATCAGCTCTGCTCACAGGCAGCCTGCCTGGGAGGAGACACGGGCTCCAGCCCTGCAGACCTGGAGCTGGGATACAGGCAGCCCCATGGGACAGTCTGGGACCTGTGATTGCCAGCAAGGGCCTGTTTGGCTCGATGCGGTATTGATAGTGCCTGGTGTGGGATGCTTAAGTAGGTTCTGTGCTATTAGAGTGCAGGTGACACAAGCTGGTCACTGTTTAATTGCCAAAGTTCAGCTACAGAGACCACACATGATGTCTGCTTCCCTCTCAGTGATGGGCCAAAGCAGGAGCTGGCATAGAATGATGTATTTCACTCCACAGTATATACTATGTACTTGCTTGTCGGTGTAAGCTGGGAGCTCTGCTGCTATCCAAAGCTCTGTCTTATTCATACACTGCATCTTCTCCTGCCTTGGTTCTCAGGCTGCAGCCAGCACACCACAGCTCCCTGATTTTGGGGCTCAGCTCCCCAGAAACAGTTGATTTGAGTTCTGCTGCTGTGTTTTCTGCCCTGAAGATGGTCTGGCCTTTTGTTCCCACCCTCAGACAGAAGCATTGTGTACCCACAGCTCTGGATTTGTTCTTAGCCCTGGATCCAGGGTGCTCCTTTTGTATACCTTGTGTTGATCTTTGTATCTGTGCTAACCCTTGTTCCTTTTGCTCCTTTGCCTGTTTCAGTTCCTACTTGTACGTCATGTCTGTGCTTCCATTTTTACTGTGGGGTGATCAAAGCCTCTGGGCACTGTGGTAATCCAGTGAACAGGTACACTTCTCTGTGGGTTTTAAGTTAAAGGGATGTTGGCAGCTTAAGAAGAATGCTTTTTAATATGACATAATCCCCCCCTTTCCACACCAACATGCCAAATGATTGAAGCATAAAGGAATCCTTAACCATCTCATTTGCTTCCCACCTTCACAGTGCTCACCTGCTTATTCTGCCTGCTTGGACAGCAGAAACAGGCTCAGCACTTCCTCATGCTCTGCCCTCCCAAGGTTGGGATGAGTCCAAGACCCTGCAGGGGAATGTTTGTTTCCAGAAGAAGCACTTGGCTGTAGAACAGGCACTCAGACATCCCTGGTACTTAGGTCTTGTAAAGGCTTGTGTGAGGTTCCTCAGGTGCTCAAATGCCTCACTGAAGGAGCAGGGGACACATTTTGTTCTGGTAGATCCTTTGGTCTGTCCCTTTGATTCCTGCCTTCAGGATTCAGTTGAAGTCATTCCTTTTGCATTACAGGAAGCTTGATTTGACTTCCGTGTCAGTGTCAGAGCTAGAGGAGAAGTGGGTATTCAAGGCCAAGATAGCAGTACTGGACACCAGAAGTCGCTGAGCTGAATCTAAGAAGCCCTGTTGTCAGTTCACAGCAATTCTGAGAATCGGGCCTCTTCTAGAAGGGAGAAATAGGAATCTGGGATCCCACATTCCAGGCCACCACGCTGAGAAAGTTTGGTGATCTTCCATAAGCTAAAACACTTTATGCACCACCATATAGATGCTCCTTTATGAGAACTTCCTTCAGTGCCATTGGTATCCATTGGCTGCCCATTTCATCTTCTGGCTTTCTTGGATTCCCCTGCAGTGCCCAGATGTTGCTTTTCCTAAGGAGAGTTCCATAGGTGATTCACACTTAGTCCTATTGCCATTCTTAGTCATGGTTGCCAATTTCCTACCCTGAAACTGGGAAAATGTGGTTTGGGAAAGGATGTTGCCCTCTGCTCTTCAATCCCTGCATTTGCCAAATGTATTGGAAAACTGCTTTGAAAACCTTCCTTGTATTTGCCTCCTTCTTTCCCCAGGAACAATGGGAGAAGCAAGTCAAAGAGGAGGGGACACCTCTGACCAAGTATTACACTCAGTGGAAGAAACTGAGAGAGAAGGAGATACAACTGGAGATCAGTGGCAAAGAAAGGGTAAGGATGGATGGAATACCCAACTTACTGAACATCATCTGTGCTATGGGAAGGCAAGGGAGCCATTCCTGGCAGCGGGATTGTGGCTCATCAAACCCAGCTCCACTGCTGTGAGCTGAAATGGGCTTGAGCTGCCTGAATGCACAGGCTGGGCATTGTTAGACACAGCATGAGTGTGGCTGGACAGCAGCCTAGCTGGTGCCTTCAGCTCCCTATGGATTTGTCTCGCTGGGATCTCTAGGAGTGTCCCCTGCGTGCAGCCTGTTCATTTGCCCAGGTTAACAGGATAGGTGGGACAGAAAGAAGTAGCACTAGGGTAAGTTTCCCTCTGTGTTTAAGCTCATGCAGTTCAAGAGCCATTGGTACAGCAGCCTTTGTAATTCAGGGCTAGGAAGCTGAAGACAGTAGTGATAGAACAACTGTGTGCACTGGCAGGGGTAGGCTGGGTAACAGATTTGGTGCTGTCTGAGCAATGGGGGCAATAGCCCCAGTGGATGGTACTTTGGGAGCAAGCATGTGAAGTTTAGACTGTGGTACCCAGAGTTCCTGTTCTGTGTGTGCAGTCAGGGGCCTTCTCACATTGCTTTGGGCAGTTTGCATCATGTCTTGTGAAGCAGAGTGGGTTAAGAGCCTTTAGCTCTTCTTCCACCTCTGCAGAATGTGATTGCCATGCTAGATCCTAACTGCAGGAAAGCAGGGAGGGGAAGATGCCAAGGGAATATTGGAGATGAGTTCTGTCTTTCCATATCTCCCTGCTGTGAGGTGGGAGTTGCTCTCTGGACATGGGCTGTTTCCCACATCTCCTGCCCAAGGGAAGGCTCCTCATGGCACTGTGCTCCCTGATGCTGGGGGTGGGAGCTTGCCTACATTAGGAGTCTAAAGGAAAGCTGTCTGGATGCTAATGCAGTGCAAGTGGCTGAGCCAGGCTCTTGGCCAGGGAGCAGGAAATAGATGTACTTGGTGCCTCCAGTGTATGGTGGGCAACAATTAAAATAATCAATGGGCCATGAGGATGATTGGCTCTGGGAGAAGGAGGACACCTGGGAGAGCCTGGAAACGCTGAGGATTGTGTGCCGGCCGGAGATGAGGCTGAACTTCCCTGCAGCAGCCATAGAGGGAACAAAAAGCACTCTGGTTTTCTGTGCAAAGCCAGCAGAATGTGGCCTGTGCAGAAGGGAAATTGGAGGTGGGGGGGAATGACTAAGAAGCAGCAAGAAGTGATGGGGAACTGCAGCTCCTTGGGGTGTCCGGGACCAGCTGAGGTGGTGATCTCCCCTTAAGGGGCTTTGCTTTCATACAGCAAGGCTCAAGAGGGTGACTTCTGAAACCAAAAGCCTGAAGGGCAGTGACAGGGCCTTGGTTTCTCATGGAGAAAGGGGGCTGAACAGATCAACTGCAGAGAGACAAGGCTGTGCAAGGCCTGTGGCTGCCTGGCAGCTCTGCTTGGTGAATGGGGCTGTTGTCTCTCTCGGTGGGGACTGCTAGCTTAATGATGCAGCATTGTGAGCCCCAGCAGGAGAGTGAACACCATGAGGCCCATTAGGGCTGGGAAAATCCATGTCCCATTAGCAGCCATTCGGGGGGAAGAAAAAGTAATAACAGCAAAAATAGGCCTGGCTCTGAGCTGCTGGGAGCTGCAGCTTGCCTTCTGTAACAGCACTGACCCTGCCTGCCCATTCCATTTGCTTTTCCCAATGGTTTTTAATGGGATGTAGGCTACTCAGCTTCATGAGGCTCAGTAGATGGTAACCCTTTAGCTGGGGATTAAAAGGCTGGCCCCCAAATTACCTTATTAGTGCTAGAGGGTGATGAGCACAGGCTGTATCTGTGAGCTGGGCTCAGTACAGGTCTCATTCCTGTGCTTTATGATCCCTATAGCTACAAGGGTTTCCTGGTGCCTTTATTTCGAGGTGCCCGTCTCGAAGGCACGTCTGTGGGGTCTCAGGAAGTTGGAGGTAGCACAGCTCAGCACGATTCAACACCAGCTCCTTTTTAAGGTGCTCAGGTTGAGTTCCAGCAGTCCTGATGGAATCCAGAACTGTGAGCTGCTTTGGAAACGGGGACTTCTCATAGGCAGTATGAAAATACAGGGAAGTCCCAACTCACAGCCTCTGCTCCCTGCTGTACGTGCCCCGCTCAGGATGCGTGAGGAGGGAGGATGAGACCTTGCATGATTTATGTGTTTCATTTACTGCTGCTGGGAATGACCGGGGTGCTGGAGAACAGAACCGGCCAAGAGGGACGTGGGCAGTTGATGCAGCAGTTGTTTGTTGTCAGAACTGGGTTTCTGCTGCTGTTTGTGATGCTTTTAAGCTCAACTGTTTCCTGCTTAGGCCGAGCTGGACTCTGTTTAACTGCTGTAGAGTGATAGCTGCCAGGGCTCTGCAGGTAGCGTGGCTCAGGGCACAGAAGAGGGCCCAAAGGTGCTGCCTGTGACTGGGATACTTCAAGTTACATGCCAGAGCAAATGAGAGGAGAGCAGCACGAACCTGTCTGGTCCACTAGAACTGGTAGGGGCTAAGGGAAATGTTTTCACCCTGGAAGGTCCCTTGCTCCATGATGGAGCTTGCTGGAGCTATATAAACCACCCTAGGGCAGTGGATGGGTACAGCTTAGGTCAGCTGAAGGCAGCCGTTTGGCAGTGACTCTGGATTGCCCTTGCTGCATTTAGCTTCCCAGGTCTCTCCTCTGGCATGCACAGACTTGTTTGGAACAAGCTGCTTTCTCCATGCACCTCCCCAGCACACAGGTCTCTGGGGGGCCAGTGGATGGAAAGGCATCTCAGAGTGGAAAAGAGCAAATATTGGCTGGGGTTTTGCTCCTTTTCCCCTTTCTCTGGCCAGCCTCTGACTTTCCATCCTGGTGCTGCAGGTTATTGCTTGTAAGTGCTCAGCTCCCACAATCAATATTGCCCAGCTGGGGACCATCACTGTGAAACGGGCTGGGAGAAATTGCTGCAATTGGCTGCAGGAGCAATGAGCATCTCCTGGCTCCCGTTGTTTCTTCCCTCTATCCCTCTTCTGTCTTCCTCTCTGCTGAGAGACTGCTTTGTGGGCTATTCCTGCCGGGGGGGGGGGAAGCTCATGGGAGGGTTGGAGTGGACGTGGAGCGTGTTGAGGGGTGGTCTGATGGGTGGGAAGAGAACAAATGAGTTATTACTCGCAGGGTGAGTGTTTCCAAGCAAGCTAATGTGTGCTAATGCCTGAGTGCTTCCCAGGAGGTGTGCAGCCGGGCACGGGCAGGGCAGCTGATGCTCACACAGCACTTGGGATTCAATTTGCATTCTGATTATCTTTGCCCTGCTGGCCTGAGCCCTTGCAAGTAAATCCTCCTCCTAATCCCCCTCCGGAGGGGTGTAAAGAGCACCGAGGTGGTGTCAATTGCAAGTACTTAATGGCATTGATATTGGCCTTGCTGCAGCAGCAAGGCTCTTGGCCCATTGAGCTCCATAAGGGGTAGCCATGGTGTAGACATCTTCAGCACGTTGGCATTTAACTGTGCTCAGCTGTCACAGCTTTTGGGCTTGGAGGTGACCAGCACAGTCTGGCTTCACTGGGCTTGGCTACCCAAGCTCGCATGGATGCATGGCTTTGAGTCCAGAGATCTAGGACAGCTGGATCCATTGCTATAGATACATCTATATCATTTTTATCCATGCTAAGGTATCAGCAGGAGATGGCCCATTAGCAAAAGTAGTTTATTAGGTAAAGATCAATAGAGCAATGGTGCTTTGCATGTATCAGTCACCTTTGTAAGGGACTCACAGAGCTGTGGCTCTCCTTGTTGGCAGCAAGCACACCCAACTGTTCTTGGCACTGTGGCTTACCCATCCTGGGCAAAGCCAAGTTCCTGTGTCTAAGCTCAGTGATTTAGGTTTAAAATTAAAGTTGTTCTTACTGGTGGTTTTGGCTTTTTCCAGCTTGAAGACTTGAACTTCCCAGAAATCAAACGTAAGAAGCAAAACGAAAGCAAGGAGGAAGATAAGAAGGAATTCAAGGACCTCTTTGAGCTGGACAGTGACTCTGATGAGGAGAATGCTGGATTCCCTATAAAAGGTATGGGGCTGGGCATGCCTTCTCCTTGTGCAGAATTCTCTATGATGTGAGTCAGTATGGGCTTGCCCTAATGGGGTGCATTGCTGGCCATGCTTGCTTCAAAAGATGCTCTGTTAAGGAGAAGAGCACAGGATGATGATGCTTTTTGGAGGCATTTTAAAGTGACAAGAGGTGGTTGGGAGGGTTTTATCCATCTCTAGCTCTACTTTATCAATCCAGCTCTTTCTAAAGCCTTATTTCCTGCATTAACCTTTTCTATACGTGACCCATAGTCTCCTCCTCTTAGCACTTTATCACACACTGACTTCAGCATCACAGCCCAAGAACCGGGGGATGTGTGGCTGAACACAGACCCTGCTTTCAAAGGCTTCAAATTACCAGCCATAGGTTCATATCCTAATTCCCAAAGAGTGAGTTCTCCTTCTTGTCCAGGTTCTGGGTTGAAGTTTCACCTTGGAGAACATAAAGGTGAGTGGAGAAATCCATGTTTCGTTTCCTCACCTATGGAAGAGGAATTAGACTGTTCTAGCTGACAGCAGTCTTTGCTGTCTACAGCAGTGCAAACAAGAGCTATCAGAGGGGCTGGCTATCAGAGCAGGATCTTTGATGGAAGAATGGTTATTCTCTCTTTCCATGCACTTCTGATTGATGTGTGTGATAGTGACTGCAGGTGTTCCTGACAAGCCAAGAAAGGGTCTGTAGGGAGAATGGAGGATCTCACTCTCTGGCTGTGACCACGAGAGGGCCACAGTAAATTGTGGAACCTGCCTGAGACGTTGGTGTGATCTGAGGCCAAACTTAGGTGTTCTGTTTGTGGTGTGGGATGTTTGGGCCATCACAGGTACACACAGTAGCGTGACTTGGAGAACACTGAGTTTTCCTGTTTGGAGATTTAACCTATGGATAAAGTCTGTGTGCACGTTGTAAGGTGTGAGGATAAACCTCGAGGCTTAACACAGAACCGGTGTCTCCCTCACAGGAGGAGGTTGGAAAGCTCAAGGTTGGGGGCAGATGACCCAGCAAAGAATAGGGGGAGAGCAGAAGCGAGCTCATGACTGAGAGATCAGTGTGGCATCAAAATGAGTTGCTGAGATAGATCCTTGAGATCTGGGGTTGTCCTGCCTACTGTATGAGTCAGTGCCTTAGAAGAATCAGTGGCTTCTATAAGGGCAGTGATGACTGCAGCTCGGAAAGCAGGATGCTGTGATCCAGGGAAAACCAGGATCTCTTCCTGTGCCTCCCAGGAACTGACTTTATGTACACTTGAGAGGTTTCTTGGACTGATGGGGTTCCAAATACCCATTGGGGGCATGTCTGTGATGAGTATACACCCCCTACATGTGCTTCTGTTACCTGTCCATGAGGTTCTTTGGCAGCTTTAAGGGCCTGACATATATTGTGCAGAGAGTGCAAGTGAGGACTTGAGTTCCATGTGATGCCAAAGGGCATCCCTGCTCCATGTCTGCATGCCAGAGCTGTGGTACCTACTCACTGCTGCCTTTGCCATCCAACATTCCTGCCTCTCCACAGCCTTTGTTCCCAGCAGGGTGCTCTCTGGAGAGAGGGAGCAGGCCCTGAAGGCAGTTTCCATCTCAAGGAGCAGCTGTGCTCAGCCCCACCATGGGTCCTGAGGCACTTAGACAGCACTGGCTCTGCACCATAGCATAGGGGGAAGTCCCCTCCGGGCTGTGGTGTGACTCCACAGTGGGAAAGGGATAGGGAACAGGGAGGCTGGGAAAAGCGCCTGTGTCTTGGGAGATGCATACAATGAGCTCTTGTTCTTGCTCTGTGTGGGGTGTGAGATGTTCTCTGCCCTGCTCTGTGTTCAGTAACTGTCAGGGCTGGCTGCAGATGCTTCAGTTTGCTGCTGAAAGGAATATAGCTGTAAAGCAAGGAATAGAGCTGAGACTGCCCAGTGATGCTGACCTCCTTGACAGGAGAGACCTGTTCCAAGCCAGGCTGGTGCTATGAAGGTATCTGTGACATTGATGTGTCAGGGGGGTTTGGGAAGCCCTTCTGACACAAGACTACTTCCAGACATGGGCAGGAAGAGGTGGAGCTGGTGGGCTATGCCCTCTCTGCTCTAGGAATGGAAGCAGGGGCATGGTTTGGGAATGCCAAGGTTGATGTGGGAAAGAATAGAAGGCTCCTTGGAAAGGTCAGCCATACCCAGAGGTGTCCATGCTCTGCTCAGTAGCAGCAGCACCCAAAACTGTTCAGAGTTCTTACTGGAAAGAGCCAGTTCCAGGATCCTGGAAAGGAGAGAGGGAGGGACCACCGGAAAGGAAGGAATTCCTGGTAGAAAAGTCCTTGCTGGGTACTTGCATTGGTTTGTTGCTGTAATTCATCCTCTTGGGCAGCCCCACGGGTTAAATCCATGAGGACGGTTCCCTGGTCTGGAAAATTCTCTTCCCCCTGATGGTTACCACATAGAAGTCTGGATTTCAGACCCTGCTGCTGGTGCAGCAGCATCCTGGCTCTCTGGTGGGATGCTGGGTGCAGAGGCACAGTGAGAATGGCTCCCATGTCCCCAGCCACAGCATTGGGCTTGGCGGAGTTGCCTGTGTTAGGATGTTGTAGTTGTTTTGGCCTGCCACATCCAGACCAGATTCCCAGGAGTGGAAAACTGCCTGCTGAAAGCAGGGAAATCCTCCCTTTGCTGTTATTCATCTGCTGTTCAAAGCCCCCCTCACCTTTTCTTCTGAGTTGCGTGAAGCATTGTATCAGTGCAGGGTTGATTTGGGTTTACACTGTCCCTAATCCCTATGGAAGAGAGGTCTGGAGGGCAGCTACAGTCCTTGGGTTAACCATTGCCAGCCAAAACATCTTGCTCATTGACTAACTTGTACCTCAAAGAGCTTTTCTTCCAGCAGAGCAGGCTTCTGAAGAGGTCTTTCCAATCCCAAGCAGGGAGTGAATGAAGGGCTCCCTATTCTCAGGGTTTGCCATCACTCATTCCTGGCATCACCAGCAAGTCAGTGGTGATCCTGTTGTTTTCCAGCAGCACTGGTGCACTTGGGCATTACCTTCCCTTCTGTTCTGAGCATTTCCCCTCCTTGTCCACCCTTGCCTCTACCATCCTCATCCATGCTTTAGCAAGGAAAGGAGACGTGCTGCATTCCACCCCAGGGGATGGTCACTGGTACGGTGGTGTTTGCAGCTCACACAGCCCTTGGTGCCAGGGTGCTGCTCCCACATGGGACCACCAGCCCCTCTCTTCTTCCCCTGGGGACCAAGAGGAGCAGCATCCTCTTGGAACAGCATCCCTGGAGCAGGCAAAGAGGGGCTGCAGGGACTGCCCTGGAGTTGAATAGGGGATAGAGTAGATTTCCCAAAGAATAGGAGAAACTGTGGTATGGGGTGGGAACAGATTCAGATGGGTTCCTATGGGGGGAATGAGTGTGGGCATACCCTTGTGGGTGTGGATTCTCACAGGGCAGGATCAAGTCTGCACATCTCGGGCGAGGGCAGAACGAGGTGGGAGATGGGGAGGACAGAGCGTGGCTTCGATCCATCGCTGTGTCACTAATGGGGATGGGGAAGCTCGTGCATTCCTCTCATTTACCAGCTGACAGATCCCTGCGAGGAGAGGCTCCTGGAGGTTATTGATGGCTCAGGATGAGGTGCTGGGCTGCCTCATCATGAGGCACTTAAAGGCGACGAGGGAGCGTGGCTGCAGCATCTCTCTGCGCCCGGCTCTAATGAGTGCTGTGTCCACATTAGGTGTTACTGTGCCTCTAATGAACTTGAGCAGCTTGCTTCATTTATCCCTCATGTAATTATATTACAGCAATTTAATGCCAGGGCTGTGGAAGGAGAGGTCAGACACTGTCATTTCCTAAGCAGAATAAGCATGGCCCTTCCTATAGTGGTAAAATCCCTGCTGTGGGCTGGCAGCTTGAGGATACAGGGGCAGAGTGAGGAGGGAAAGGGGAGATGCACAAAGGGCCCCAAACCCAATCCCTGCCCACATCTGACCTCCTCTGGCTCCTCTCAGATGAGCTGTAGCTGGATCTGTTGGAGCTGTTGCTGTTTGATGGATGAGGAGGTGCCCCTCGGTGTTGCCTGAGCTGCTCAGGTGCCCGTCAAGGTGATGTGGTGCAGTGATGTGCTCTGCAATCCATCTCCGCATGGATGCAGGTTTCCTCTCTCCATGACATGGAGCTTCTGGTCCCTCAGTGGCAGGGAGGCTGCATCCTGCCAGAGCTGATGGATGGGTGAGGGTGGGGAGCTGGGAATGCTGCAGCCACCTTATTGATGGCTCTGTATCCAGTTCAGTGAGTAACACAGGTCAGCTGCTGAGGAGGGAGGATGGGGCAAAAAATAGATGCCATGGTGGGGCCCAAGAGTCACAGTGTGAGAAAGATGTACGGACAGCTGGCAAGCAGGAGGGGGGAATAAACACTTTCCTCAGCAGCTTTGGAAGCAAGGGAGGCAGCCTGCAGCACTGAGCTGGGCCTAGCTCAGGGAGAAGGCAAGGAGCAGCTGATTCTTCTGCTCCCTCTGTTTGTATTCTGCCCTTCTCCACTGCAGTGAGCTCAACAGGAGTAAAAGCAGTCTGGTTCCAGAGGCTCAGGGGCAGGGCATTCCTCCCAAGGCTGCCTTGGCCCTGGCTATCCATCTCCAGAGGGAATTTGCAGCAATATCTCTTCCTAGACCTTTCTGTTCTCACTAGCAGAGGGAATAAAGCTAAGAGAGGTTTACAGTGGTGCCCTGGACCAGACCCCTGTTTTCAGTTACGTGTAACTGTGAAGGTGGGGACGTGCAGCACTGTTTCTCAGTGGAACCCAGCTCTCTGTGGTCTCAGCTTTGTGACTTTCTCCTCCTTCTTTCCCATGTCTTTTCAGTAGCCCATTTCTTCTCATTGTGCTCTTCTGTCCTGCTCTCCCAGCTTTCACAGCTCTCTGAGCAGGGCAGGCTTGAATGCTGCACTGGTGGTGCTCCATAACAGCAGCGAATCCTGGGTTTTAGCTGTAAAACCCTGCCAGGTGCTTCTGAGGTGACTGGGTCCTGGCCTCTAACACATGGAACACATCCTTCTCTGGGCCTTAGTGCAGTGCTATTGGAGAGACAGGGTCTGTTTCCCCTTTGGTCTGACTGTACTCCAAGGATGAGTGTGGGGATGGTAGAACACACGTACCTGATGTCTGCTGCCTGTGTGCTCGTGTGCTGCTCCTCATCTCGCCATTCCCATCACTTGCAGGGAAAGGCAAAGCCAAGCAGGCCTCAGACGACAGTTCAGAAGAGGGCAGCGAGGAGTATGGCGAGGATGATGATGAAGAAGAAGGAAGGTATGAGATCGAGGAGGACGAGGAGGAACTGGAAGACGACAGTGGCTCAGATGGTGAGTAGAGCAGTTGGGCAACGGGGAAGGGGCTCTTCTGCACCTTGGGGCTCCTCTACAAAGGAACCATCCCTTGTGTTCTGAGCTGCAGGGTGTCAGGAGGGACTCTTGCACACAGACACAGCTTGGACAGGGAGAGCTGAGCTGATGCTGAGAGCAGAAGGGTTAAGGTCTTTGCAGGCCTTGCTCCACCAACCCACCAGTCCCTTTCATCTCTTCTCGGGAGCCTCCTGCAGAGAGGCTCAAACAAGCTCCTGAAGTTCAGCCCCCCCCAGCAGGGCACAGGGCCCTGCTCCAAGGCTCTCTGCAGGTTACACAGCCACGGGGGTGGAGGGTGCTGTGCACTCTTCATCTGAGCAGTGCCTGGGCTATGGGTAACCCTTTGCTTGCTGCTTCTCAGCCGCTCCTCCCAGGATGGGACTGGTGGGAGACCTTGCCCAGGTCCTGCTGCATCTGGGGGTCCTCAGACCCCAAGAGCTCGTCTCGGTCTCTCCTCTTAAGTAATGTTTTCCTCTTACTAATCCTGATCGCTTCTGCAGGTCAGTACCTGCTGCCCGGAGGTACTGGTCAGAGCGGTGGGCATCAAGGTAGGAGGCTTCCAGCTCCATGCTTCTTGCAGGCCAGACCAACCAGCTACATAGGTGCTGAGGAAGCCACCGGCTGTGTCCCCAGCGCTGTGTGGATGTCAAACCAGGCTTTGGTGCAGCCGAGAGAGCATCCTCCCCTTCCAGCCCTTGCACAGCACCACAGGCAGGCGAGAGCCTGCTCGGCACCCAGCAGAGCAGCTCAGGCTCGCCCCTGTCTGCCAAGTCCCTGTGCTAAGCTGCAGACAGAACCTGAGCCTGCCAAGGGTGTTCCTTTGTGTGCCACTTCCTTCGCCCTTTGTGTCGGAGCAGCAGGGTCTGCTCCTCACATGCCACGGGGTGCAGGAACAGCCACAAGAACTGCTCTGTGCTGCCTTTCTGTACTAGTTTGGGGAGCAGGAAGGGGGAAAGAGGCCAAGCGAGAGCACAGCGTGCCTGATTTAGCATGGCAGATGGCTGTGGCTTGGCACGCACGCCCAAGCCTCGGCGCCCAGAATAGATGGGTGTTTGATGCATGTTCTGACAGCGCTGTGAAGGAGCAAGGGGAAAAGTTTTCCCTCGCTGCTTTTTGGAGTATTCAGGAGGAAAAGCACCAAGGAATGGTGCTTGAGGGGAGCAGGAACTCTGAGCCTCCCTTCTCCATCCCTAATGCAGCTTTAGAGCCAGTTCCTGGGTCTCCTTGCTCCTGGATACCCGGTGTAGCTGCAGTGATGTTCCAGCCCAGGTGCCCCTGGCCTGTGGCACTTCTCCAGCCATCCATAGGGCTGGGATGGGGCAGATCCGCCCTTCCCAGGTCTCAAGCTGTGCGTGCTGAGTGTTTCTGTTGTGCTGTTCATTCATACGTGGAGCCTGGTCAGGCAATGAGACTGTGAGGAGCTGGTGTCCGTGACAGCCTCCCAGCCTCCAGCAGTCCAGAGCCTGAGGGGAGAGCTCTGCACGTGCTCCCAGTGGAACGAGAGGGAAGGGCACTGGGCATGGGGACTGTCCCTAGAAACCAGTTCTCACTTGTGCTCCCTATTAAAGCATCATGTCAGAAAGGAGGGAGCGTGGGGTTAGTTTTACATTGGGAGGCTCCTTTCCCGCAGCCCTTCATTCCCAGCCTGGCATCTGTAGCAAGGCAGACTGACCTGAGCCATGAGGGATGAAGGTTTGGAAGCACTCATGTTCCCCTTGGATCTTGCGTTGTGTCTCTGCCTCAAGCCATAGCAGTTCCTCAGGTCTCCCATCGCTCCCTGCAGAGCTCTCCTCCAGCTGAGAGCTGCAGCAGCACCAATACATTAATGAGGGGCTGGGATTAATTAGCAGCCCGTTGCCTTGCTCCCAGTGCAGCAGGATTGAGTCCTCCCTCTCCTTCCCCAGCAGAGGAAGGCCGGGAAGGCGCCCGCGTTCCGCAGGGATCCCAGCCGAGGAGCCGCACGGGAGGGATGTCCCGAGCCGACCTCGAGCTGCTGGCGCAGGGAGACGAGGACGTTGTGGAGGACTTGGCCTTCTCCGACGACGACTGAGCCCCCTCCGAGGTGCTGGTACCACAGCACCCATCCTGCGCACCCGCAGCCGGGTCCTGGAGCCATGGTAAGAGCTGGGAGGGCAGCCCTGGGTGCCACCAAGGACTCGGCAGTGACGCAGCAGAGGCGCTGCTTGGACTTTAAAGCTGTTTTCCACCTGTCCTGGTTTTGGTAACAGTGGAATCGTGCTCGCATCCAGGCCAGTGAAACTGCTCAGCACCGGTAATAAACAGCCCTCATGAAAAGCTGCTGCTTTCAGTAGCACAGGGCTCAGTTTCAGCTCCTGGAGCAGGAGCCAAGGGGAAGTGCAAGTTCTTTTGTCTGAGGGTCTTTAGCTAGAGGGGGAGTGCAGAGATGGGAGGTGGTGCACGCAGAAGAGGGAGGAAGAGGCAAAACACCATAGGAACCACGCTTTCATTTTCTGATGGGTGTTGGACTTGCTTAGCACAACCAAGCACCAAATCTGAGCCCGTGCTTAGTACCAGACCTGCTGTTAGTGACCTAAAACTGCCTTCTGGAGCCAGTTCCAGCTGCTGCTGAACACGTTTGTTGTGGTCCAGCCATCAGCAGTGACTGACTGCAGGTGCCTTGGGCATCAAATCACTGCATCACCTGGGAAGCTTCTAGATGCAGCTCATGCTGTGTCTTCCTGTTGGAGTGTGGTGCTTGTGGGAGGCCATTGTGTAGCTCAAGGTGGGTAAAGGCAACAAAACCAGCTTCTCTGTAGAGACCACTGTTAGCTTACAGCTGTTCTACACCGAGGGCTGCTCCTCTCCTGCTTCCAGACATCATTACTGCACAGCTAGCACTGCTGCAGTGCAGTGGGGTGGGCTGTTTGCTTCACTTAGTGTTGTTTGGAGCTTAGCAGCAGGAATAGGGCTGGAGAGGGGTGCTTTTCCCAAGTGCAGTTACAGGAATCAGTAGCCATGCACCCAGATGCCCTCAGTCCTTTAAATGGGAGGAAGTAACCTCAGAAATGGGTAAGTTGTGTTTTATTATGCTCATCATCATTATTGTCATTGTTATTATCATTTATAGCCCACTTTGAGAGGAACAAAGCATCTGCTGCTTCATTAGCAGCTCTGGAGTGCTCAAGCCTGAAGTTCCCTATGGCTGGTAAAGCCTCTGTCACCAGGGAGCTGACTGCAAAGATGAGGCCCTAATGATAGGAAAATGGTTTGTAACTTACCTTTTAGTCCCAGAGAGAAAGCAGTTCTTGTTCCTCCTCCCTCTGACTTAGTGGCAAGCTGAAGAACCAACCCTCAGGCTGGCTTTTAGGCCACAAATGCTGCAGCCCCAACCCACAGAGAGGTACCACCAGCAGCAGGGTACCACGCAGTGAAAGAGAGCAGCTTCTCGGGTAAAGAACCACATCCAAGGGGCTCGGGTACCGGTTGGAAATGAAGTGTTTCTCCTTTTTTATTTAAACTGATTGCTGGGCAGCGTTTGTACGGTGATGTGATGGGCAATGGCTGGTTGGTTTTTACAATAGAAAGAAGCTAATGTACCACCAAGCGAAGTTTGGTAACAAAAGGACGGCAGCACGTGCAACCTTGAAACAGAAAAGGGCAGGGGGAGCAGAGAGGAAAGTACCACGTGTGGTTGTTGTTCACAACTGTACAAGTCACAGGAGGGCACCCCCAGGAGTTACCATCGCATTCACAGTAGTAAAAACTCTTTCTTACCCATTGGTTTTAGCCTGAACCACCCCCCCCCCCCCCCAGCATCCCTCCCCTGCTCTGGGAACGCACAGGTACCTGTCTCATGGTCCACAGCAGGCCAGAATGTGCAACTGCATCCACCTCTGTAACAAGGCTTGAAACGAGAACCAAAACAACCCCAGAACAAAAGAAACCCCCACCCCAATGGAGAAATGAGTCTGTTGGACACGTGAGGGAGGCCGGGGGGCCCCTGCAGCCCACCAGAGCACATCGCTGGCTCTTCTCTTTACAAAGCATCGAATGGGCAAAACCAAGCGGCTCTGCAGGGCTGGAGCATGGGCAGAGCCTGTTCTGTGCGTGCCAGGAGGGGGGGGCAGCCCCCGGGCTGTGCCGTACCATCCGCTCCGAAGTAAACATGGACCCGAACTTGCCTTTTAGTTCTTCTTTGTCTTTGTTTTTGGCTGTCTTTGGTATTGGTTCAAAGTTGCTATTGATGCATAGACACCTGAATGAGGAACTGAGTCCAGTTTCCAGGGAGGAGGAGCCAGCTGGGAAGGTGGGTGCTTTCAGTTCTGGTGATGGGGTTTTCTCCTCAGGGATGCTGAGTACCGTTGGGAGCAGCGGTCGCCTCTTCCCCTCCCTGTTTGAGCCACCCCAGAAGGTCCTGAAAGCCGTGGTTCTCTGAAGGCAGTGTTCATTCCCTGTCCTACGGCTCCGGGGAGCGAGAAGGGGGGGGTGAAAGGGAACGGGAACGCTGCTGCAGCCTCTAGAATCACTCTCCCTTCACTCGCGTTGTCTCAGGACATCTTTGGATTGTTTCGTTCCTTCTCTTTTTCAGTCTCGGTTGGGTTTTCTCCACCCCAACCAAAAAGCAAATGCATCCAATGTAATGAACCCCCTCCCTTCCTCACCCCTGTGTCTCACACAGCTGAGGGAGGCTCTCCTGGCCTCCCCATGCTCTTGACCTTCACTTCGCTCCGTGACCTCAGTCCAGGCCACCGGGAGCTGCCCCTGCAGTTAGGACGGAGGCTTCGTGGTGTCACTGAGCGCGGCCAGGACGCCGGGGGCCCCGTTCTCCTGCTTCGGGGACACGCGGCTGGCGGAGGGGAGGCCGCTGAAGGGGGAGGCCACGCTGCCCGTGGACGACGGCCGCAGCTCCGCGGCTGGGGGCAGCTCCCGCTCCGGGGGCCGCAGGCCGGGCGGTTGCAGGGGGAAGGCCATGGGGAAGCCGGCCATGTACAGGACCCTGCCCACCCTCTTGGCCACCTGCGGGGAGAAGGAGGAGGAAATAAATGCAGGGGGTAAAAAGGGGCACAAATGGTCCTCAGAAACACGTAAAAGCTGCAGTTTCAGGCTGCAAACCCAGGTTCTGTGCTCCAGACTGGTCTGGGTTGGAAGGGTCCTTACGATCATCCAGTTCCTTATATCTAACCTGAACTTGCCCTGTTTCAGTCTGAGCCCATCACCCCTTGTTCTATCGCTCCCATCCCTGATGAGGAGTCCCTCTCCAGCATCCTTGCAGCCCCCTCCAGGTACTGGAAGGCTCAAAGATGAAGAGCTGGGTGCCACAGGATCACAGACCGGTGACCAAACACGATGCCCATGTCTGAAGAGCAGGACTTGCTCTTAGAGGGGAGCCGGGATAACAGGGGAAGGGAAAAAACTGGCTCCAGGGTGGCTGCTGTTCCTGCGCAGGAAGCTGGAAGCTGCAGCCTCTCCCTTCTCCTGCAGCACCAAAGAGGACTCCCGCAGCCATTCTCGCCTCCCAGTGAGGGCCAAAGGCCCCCCAAGGTTCCAGCACCTACAACAGCTGGTTCCCATTTCAGCTGGAACAGAAACACAGGCTTGTGCTCAAACCAGACAACTGCCGCATTATTCACTTAGCAACAGCGGGGCTTTGCTCCCCACTTACACACAGACCCCCTCCCCAGCCATGCCTTATTATAGACCTTTAAACACTACTGATTAAATGGAAGCAAGGTTTTTCTCCCTTCAGCCCATATCTCATGTTTCCCCCCTCCAAAATCCCATCGAAGAACAGCTCTGAGCTATTTGGCCTCCTCTGTTTTGGAAGAAACAGAAGAGTTTTATTTCCTCCTGAACTGCCCCATAGGGAACAATTGCCCACAGAACCTTTTTATTAGACCCCTCGTAAACAGTGAGGGCTGTAGGGAAAGCAGTAAAGTTGCTCTTCTTGGTTTACCATAATGTAATGAATGTGTAAGCCTGTGGCTCAGGGAGGCTCTGCCACAGCTGGGTGTGCAACCCAGGGAGGTGCACGCACAAGGTGCTGTCACAGCCACGGCCACGACAGTTCCCAAGGGAAGGCACTGGAACAGCCTGGTCCTGACGTGTGTCAGGAGCTGGTCTGGGAGCACTGAATGGGGAAGTAGAGCTGTCAGTGGAGGGGTTCTTCTGGGTTTGAGGCAGCTGAAATGGGAGTCACCCGGTCCATGGCAAAGCGGTTCCATGGAAGCAGAGACTTGGGAACCAAGTCACTGACAGGGAAAAGGGTGCTTTAAGAAGAACCATCGAGGGCACAACAGCAAAGGGGTGTGCTGAGGAGGAAACAGAGTCCCCTAAAGTAAAGGCCTAACACAGCTGATGTGGGTTCCATATCCCATGTGGCCATGTGTGAGCAGCACAAGCTGGGGGTGCATGTGGGATTGGGGCACGGCCCATCAGCAAGACCAGCAACCAAAAGAGAGCCCATGACTGGCCCGACAGAAGGGAAAGGTCCATTATGCACTGGGGAGAAGTAATAACAGATGATGCTGAGACATGCTCAGTGTATTTGTGCTTCAAGCCTTGCCAGAAAGAACCACCAAGAGCCATGCAGTTACACAGAAAAGGAGCAGCAGAGGGAGTCGGGTCCAGTCTAGAAAGAGCTGGTTCCTCAGATGGCTTTACCCAGCTTTTAGGTACTTTGAGATGCTATTCTCATGTTCACCTGATGCAAAAGCATGTCCCCTGCCTCACCTGGGTGCAGGTTTCCTCCTTTCCTGGCACTGTTTGTGGGAACATCCTAACATTTCCTTTCCAACAGGAGCTGGTCCATGTAGGAGTTCCCCACTTCACCCTCTTCCTCCTTCCCACCACTTGTCCTGAGCTACTTCCTTCTGCCCCTGGCCTCTGAGTACCGCTGGGTGACAGCTGAGGAGATGGAACATTCTGGAGTGTTGAATCCAGAATTGCAAGGAAATAAATGAACAATTACTGCTTAATGAACTATATTCAATGCAGGAGGTCCTGACAGCCCTTTCCTGGTTAGGGACAACATTAACATGTGCTGCTTGCTGCTATATAGAAACCATTCCTACCTGTGACCTGATCTTCAGTGCAGGTCCGAGTTTCAGCCCCATGTTGTTCAGTAAGTGCTCTTCCGTCAGGAGGGGCAGGGTCTCCCCATCAATAGCCTGCTCTCGGAATACCTGGAAGCAACCAGAACACAAATCCAGGCTTAGGAATGCCCCTGATGTGCCTGATGCTCCTGTCTTGCCCTTGCACAGGAAGGTGCTGTGGAAAAGGTAGAGTAAGTTGGTATTGATACATGAGAGGTAGGAACAATCCTGTATCCACAGCCAGGAGCTAGCAAGTGAAAGGAAGCAGATGGGAATGGGAATTGGGGTTGGTTGGGCCAGTTTAGATAAAGCCATACTTGTTTATGGTGTGATGGGGCAGGAGCAGCCCCAGGTTTGGGCACCCTTCTTTTCCCCCACACTGACAGGGATTAGTAACTACCTCGGTGCTACTGAGGTGTACGTGGTGCCACTGAACAGGAAGGCAACACACTGGCAGTCTCTTACCCCTCTCCTGGTTCACTGAGTGAAGCAGAAGCTGGTGATGTGCAAACCTGGACTCACAGCAATGACAGCAGGGCTGGAGTAATCCCATAAATAGCATTTCCCTGTGCCCCCACTGCAGCCATGCAAACCTGCACCATCTTAACACACTTAAGAAGACAGGGAAAAAGCCCTTTCTTTTGCCCCTATCTATTTCCAATGCCAGCGTCATGCAAGAGTTTTCCACCTCGTAGGGACCATGTAATAGAGGTGAAGGTCTGGATCTTGCTCCATTGTTCATGCACAGAGCAGGGCTGCGCTCACACCGGCCCCCCCGGGGTCTTTACTCTGCATGTACGGGCTGGATACTCGATGAGTAAACTGCAATCCCTGCGCAACTCAGGCTGCAGGTCCCTCAGTGGGGAGGTGTCGGGCAGAGGCCTGGTTTTCCCCATGAAACCCCCTTCCACAGGGCACGTTCCTGGATGCTCCCCAAATGAGCTGTGTGGGGCAGCACCTTACGCATGGTGTTAATGTCACTGAACACCCTAGCAAAGGAGAGGGCTTCAAGTCACTCTAAGGGCTTCTTTGTCAGCAGCAGCCCATAGCCCATGGCCATCCCTCTGGAGGGGGGCACCGGCTGTTAGAGCCGAGGCAGCTGAGCTGCTGCAAGGGGCTTTTACTGCTGGGCTCCAGCACAAAGCTGCTCAGGACTGCAGCACGTGGCTCTGCTCTGCCCTACCAACCCTGTACCAATTCATTTCCCTCCCTCTGCAGCCAGCGTGGGCTGGGAGCCAAAAGCCTCCCTTTGCACGCACTGGAACCCGCCATGAGAAGCCCTGTAACTTGAGGACAGCATCCCCTTGGGTGTCCCATGGGTCCTGATCCACTGCGGGGACAAAGCTGAGCGCTGCCGAGGGCTGAAATGAGCCACAAGCCCTTGTTTGTCTCAGTGCACAGCACAGCACCAGCCTCCTGCTGGTTTTCCTGGCAGGAACAGCCTGCAGAGCAGCGCCAGACCTCCCCAGCACTGTGGTTTTGGAGAGGAGAACACAGGCAGCTCGGAGCTGGGTCACCCCTCAACACTGGCCTTCGCACATAGTAAAAACCTGCTAAGCACATAGCCATGGTGCACACAAACACATCATCCCTGCAGCCATGCTCCCCCCGCAGTGTAATGCAGCTCGGGCACGCCAGGAGCCTGGTGACAGCAGCTCCCATCATCAAACACGGTGCCTGCAATGCACTGAGGCTGCTGAACCTCTGCCTCCGCCAGGTATTGATTTCTGCCCCACCGCTCCACCAGGAGCTGCCAACGGAGGTGGGAATGGATGAGCCTCCTGCAAAGTGGCTCTGGTAGAGAGAGAGGCTTCCAGGCACCTCTTGCTCCTCATTCCCCAGCACAGGAATGCAGACAAAGCGCAATGCCCCTGCTGCAGGAGCACGCTGAGGCCGGGATGACAGAGACACAGTGTGTTTTGTATGGGTGTGTTTTGGTTTTGGGAGCCTTCTGCTTGAGCTCCCCACTAAACCAGCTCCTGAACCCCCCCTCCACACACCCAGACCTGCTGCTTCTCACTCCCATCAACACCCATCCACCCTCCTTCCTTTGTAACCAGTGTCCCCTCCCTTCCTCTCCCCACAATCAGAAACTGCCCTTATGCACACACAGTCATCCTGATCCACTCTCAAACACAACCCAAACCCTTGGGGACCTTTACATGTACCCCATCCCTGCAGCAGGCATTTGCTTTCCTAAGTGCTGCCTCTCACCTGCATGCACACAGCTCTTTGCTCCCCTGAAGCACTGGCTTTACAGGTGGTTTTAACAAAGAACTTCCTCAGGTCTCATCTCCATCTCCCCTCTGTCAGGTTAAACCCATTCCCTCCTGTCCTTACAGGCCCTTATACAAAGCATGGAAGCAGGATGCTGAGCTCTACCAGTAGAAAGGCTGGGGCAGGTGTTCAGCAATGACCAACCCTTGCCCCTACTCCATCCCCTCCCACTGCACTCCCTTTATTGCTCTCCCTCTGTGAGGGCCATCACACACCTCAGGATCTTCACTACCAGCAAGCAGCTGTTTCCCAATGCAGTAAGGAAGCGGCTCTGAGACACAGCACCTCCTAGGTGGGACAGGGCAAGCACAGCAGGGACAGAACACGGGCTGTGAAGAGCTTTACCTGAGTGTACTCGGTGCAGCCGGACAAGTTGGACACGAAGCTGCACACGTCCTCCACCGTCCATTTGCTGATGTCTTCCAACGCGGGGCTTTCCTCCCCATCCAGAAACAGACCTCCCATGGTGCCTGGATTGTTTGGAGCCGGGGATGGGGGGTGTTAGGAAGGAGGGGAGGAGAAAGAAACATAAATCATTCAAATCCCACCCGGACAACAATGTGAATATGTTTCTCCAGCCACACATTCATCTTTAATGACCTGTCAATTAAAGCACTGGGCAGGGTCAGTTCATAGGCCTCTTCCTCCTGGAGGTCCCCAGCTTGGAAAGGGAGGGGGGTAAGGGAAAGGAAAGCAAAGCCCTGGCTAATGTATTTCATGTGTTTAATGTTCTTCAGCTGTGGGGAAGGGATAGGGGGAAGGGAGAGGAAAGAAACAACCCTCAAGGAGGGTTTCTCCACACGCACCGCAAAGCCAAAAGCTCTGCCTGCCCTGTGGGCTGCTTCCCCCCATCCCTGCTCCTGGCGACGTGCTCCGAATGGGAATGGCCCCGGCACCTCTCCCTGGTGGCCGCTGCCTTGCCGGAGCCTCAATCACCACAGAAGAGCTCGCTCCATCCATGGGCTCATTTTCAGTCCACCCCAGTCTGAAGCATCCGCGGGATCGGCTGCCTCGGAGCGCGCTGGAGCTGGGTGATGGGATGACCCCCGCCAGCCCCTGGGGCACTGAGACAGCCCAGCTCTGCTCAAGCCCATGAGTCAATGCTCTGCAATGCAACAGCGGTTCAGGTCCCAGCCCTGTCACCACTGGCAGAGGTGATGGGTTCCAAAGGGGGGGGAAGAGCCCCCCCAGCCCTGCATCCGCAGCCCCTGACAGCACGGGATGGGCTGGCGCCAGGAGCTAAAGGAGAGGCACAAAGAAACCCCAGGCAGTTAACTCCTATCTACTGCAACGGGTCACAGGGAAACGCAGCAACAAGCAACGAAGAAACTGAGTTCCAGAAGACACCGCTTCATGGGGCAGGAATAAAAGGTGCTGCCAACCTGTGGAACTCACTGCTGCATGGTACCATTCAGACCAAGGGGACATGCACAGGGCTATGAACACCCATGGTTACAGTGGATAGAGAAGAGTTTATGATGGGTACAAAGCAAGAGATGAGCAGAAAAGGTCCTTCCCCCGGGGGTCTATCACACCAAAACTCTCGGTCCTGTAGGCTTAAGGTCTGCCCAGCACCATGGATATAACTCCCCTCCTTGGCTCCTGTCCACAGCAGGCTGGGTATCAGACACAGGCTCCCATGAAGTAAAGACAAGATGAAGTGGGATGCAACGAAATCCTGCTGGGAAGCACAAGCCCAGAGAACAAGGGGCCAATTCCCTGGGGAATGACAAGGTCAGAGGGAAGAGGCACAGGAAGAGCAGCGCCACGCGCCGAGTCTCCACTTGTTGGCAAAGCCACGGGCACATTCCAAAGGCACAGGAAGAGGACAGGAATTACACAGGAAGTCATCATGCCAATCAGATGGTTCTGAACCACCGGCCGCGGTCAGACACCCGGTAATCATTTCCATGATGGTTCCGCTCCCAGCTTCCCGCTTCCCTTCCCAACCTCCGCACTGTTCCTGTAGTAGCACCACCACATCCCTCCCTCCCTCCCTCCCTCCCTCCTCTCGGGGAAGGAGACGGCAATGTCTGCTTCAGCTGGAGCTGCAGCTGATGGGCATTCCCAGTGCAAACAGACCAGTGCCAGCACGCACTGGAGGCCAGGCAGCTCCTCATTCCCTTTGCTCCCTCTCCTTCCAGCCTGAAAAGGTTTCCATCACTTGTGTGTGTGGTAACAGCCATAGGGAACGACGGAGAGCTCGGTGCCTGTCGCTGCCGAAGAGGCACCCCCAGCTCCCAGGCAGAGAGATGGACACGAGCCCTCATTCTCATTCCCATCCCCTTTCCCAGCTGCTTGTGCTGAACCCCACAAAGCACTCCAAGGGCTCAGGGTTTTTTTGCCCTTTCAGGAGAGGGTTTTCCCTTCTCCTCCTTTCGGGAGGGGTGGCTGCGGTTTGGGAAACAGGGGAAGTGCAACTGAACTCAGTTATTCCAGGCACAGTCAATGCCCAGGCGAGACACCTCCATCTGCAGCCGGAGCGGGTGCCTCTGAGGGGATCGGACTGTAACAGCCAACTGCTTCCAAATGAGGTACTTCCTTATTCCAAAAGCAAGCCAAGGATTGAGTTGCAGCAACGTGGTGCTTGGGAATGACTTCTCCAGCCAGGGCCATCCTCAGGGTTTAAGCTCAGCCTGGTCACCAGCACGGGCAGAGATTCAGCCCAGACGCCTCCTTCACAACTGGCAAGGGATGCAGGGAACGGCATAAAGCTTCCCTATGCTCCCTTCTCCTGCACGCCAGCAATCCACGAGCTGCACCACATCCAGGGTCATTCCCAGGGCTCCTGACACTGCCCCGGAGCTGGGCTAACAACTGCTTCTCCTACATAAGCCTTTCTCCTCTGTGGTTTCCTCTCCCTTGTCTCTTTGTGCCCCCACAAGGGGAGGGAGACATCGTGATGCACACAGAGATGCACACACAGAGCGAGCCTGCCGTGGCCAGCACTGAGGACAAGGCAGCCCCTCTCTATGGGAACCAGGAATATTTTCCACATAGAGGAATACAACACGGCCAAAGTATTGATCTCTTCCTATCTGTACCAGGGACTGACTGCTGGACATTATCCTGGGAAGGGGAAGGTAAACACCAATACTTTGGGTTCTGGCCTATGAATGATTTCTATGGCACTGAATTGAAAGCAAGAGGGTGGGAACCTATTCCCACTGGAGTGAGTGGTGAAACACCCCTATTCCCTGCAGAAAAGCCCCAAATCTCAAAGCTCCAAAGACTCAGTCATCACCCTGTGTATTGAGCACCCCTCAAGCCCAGGCTGTGAAGCCTCAGCCCACTGGTCCTTTCCAACTCTGAAGCCCCTGGAGCAGAAGGGCTCCTGTCCTTCCTCCCCAGGAAGACACAGCATCGTCTGCTCCATCTCTGAGCGTGGCTGCTCCACTCACCTCTGCTCTGGCAGCCTGGACAATGATAACAAATAGGTGCCAAGCAGCAGGAAGGGATGCACCTTCTATTATAATAATGACATGTCACTGGCTCCTGCTGGACTCCGAGGATGCAGAAAGGGCAGCATCCATTCCCTGCCAGGCCTCCTGTGTCTGCCTCTGTGACAAATGATGGTCTGAGGGCCTGGTAATGGATTATGGAGCCATTTCACCAGATGGGGCCCAGCGTGCAGGGACTGAAAAGCATCCATCGTCCCAGGCAAGGGTCTTGGAGCCAGGTGCCTATGTAAAAGCCCTCACCATCCATGCTGCAACCCGTTTGTAACTTCCCTTCCTCCTCCTGATACCCAGCTGCTCTAGAAGACCAGCTAAAGGCTGAGCAGGTCAGGGAAAAGCAATCCTGCCCATCCCAGGAAGGGAAACCTGTTGGGAATCCAAGCTGCATGGAGACGTGGGAGCTTTTTACTCCTGCCTTCACAGGAGACATTCAGGTGCCAACTGGGAAATCAGTGCACAAAGCACTGGGTTTAATCAGCTTTGCTACCACACTGTAACCCCTCTCCCTGTGCATACCCCCGCCTCCTTCCCTCACACTCGGGTCATGGAGCGGCGCTGGAAGGCTTGTGTTAATTGCTCTCCAGACTATGGATCGATGGGAGGATTTTAGCCTCCTGCACACTCCCCATCCTTCACCTTTTCCAAAGGACGGGGCTGGCGGTGGGAGGAGGAAGGGATCGAGATGAGCTCATCGAGCAGCAGCCAGATCCCTGCAAGGCAGCTTAGGGAATCGACCCACCTCTGCCTGCCTCATCGATATCCATCCCAGCAGGGACAGCAAACAGCTCTGCCTCCAATGAGGAGCCTCCCCTTGCTGGGAGGCTGCTGCCTGGAACTCAGAGGTCATTTTCAACCAGCCCCTTCCCTCCTTTCCTGCCTCTGGCTGTTCCTTTTGGCCTCCCACACTAACTGCCTTGCTAAGGTGGTTACATTATAATGGCAGCCTGCAGTGTGCAGCACACCATGATCATCCAGGCCAAAAGAGCAGTCCTGGTGCAAAAACAGTCCTTGTTCAGCCTGGAGAAGAGAAGGCTCCTTAAGGGGAGACCTTAGAACAGTCTTTGATACCTAAAGGGGCTGCAGGAAACCTGGAGAGGGGCTTTGGACAAGGGCCTGCAGGGACAGGCCAAGGGGAATGGCTTTAACCTGCCCGAGGGGAGACTGAGATGAGCTCTTAGGCAGAAGCTCTTCCCTGTGAGGGTGCTGAGGCGCTGGCACAGGGTGCCCAGAGAAGCTGTGGCTGCCCCATCCCTGGCAGTGTTCAAGGCCAGGTTGGACACAGGGGCTTGGAGCAAGCTGCTCCAGTGGAAGGGGTCCTTGCCCAGTGCTGGAACTGGGTGAGCTTTAAGGTCCCTTCCAGCCCAAACCAGTCTGGGATTCTATGCAAAAGAACTATGGAAATGACCCTGGGGGTGCAGGTCTGTCTTCAGGTGGTTTGCCTTCCCAAAGGCCAAAGCAACACTTCTTCACTGACACACGTTACCCCAGCATCCCTGCAGCACTTGGATCAACACCGCCCTCAATATTCCAGCTGCTGAGCTCTCCTCTCAACCTGCTGTGCTGCATCCCACAAGTGCCCCAAGGCTGTTCCAGATGAGAGCTTGTGCTATGGGGTTGCACAGTGCCTAAATTCACTGATGCCCCATGAATATTAACACGTGAAGCTGGCTGAAAGCAACAGAGCCCGTTGCTCTGTTGCTACAGAGCTACAGCCCTGGAACAGGCTCCACAAATCACACGTGGGCAGTGAAACACAGCCCTGATCTTTGCCGAGGCCTCCAGACACGATCCTGGTATAAATTGGAAGTGATAATAATAAATGGCCCATTACAGCAACTCCTGCACTGCTGGCGGAGGAGGAACCCCATGCACCAGCCTGGCCTCCCTGCAGAGCCTGACGCAAGCGCTGAGCGCCACGGAGCTCTGCCTTTCCCTTCGGAATGCCAGGAGGAAAGGGCTCCTGCGAGGACGCCTCGGCAGCCCAAGGCAGCAGCAGTATTTATCACGTTGGCCACCTGCCTGTCCGAGGAAAATCGCTTCCTCCTTCCTCGTTGGAAGGCAGCTCTAATGAGCGATGAGCAGCCGCCTTCCCAGCAGCGGCGGCTCTTTGCACAGGGAACGGGTGGCCCCAGCGACCCACATGCTGTGTCCCCCCTTATTAGCAGGTCCGACCTCCTGCTAATTGCTCAGCCAAGTAATTAGCTGAGGCAGATTTTGGCTCCTGGCTAGACCAGGGCAGAGGCAGACCAGCCACCGGGGTCCGAAACCCTGCTTTGTACCACACGTACTCACCCTTCCCTTCTTGGCTGCCCATCTCCACAGCCCAAGGGGCTGCTCTGTGGGGACCAGAGGCTAGCCATGAATTCCTTGCCTGCCTGTCCCATCCAGCAGGCACTGATCCAGCTATACCAGTGCCTGAGAAATACACCATAGGCAGGGGAAAGAGCCCTCGTAGCTCTGCCCTGGAAAAGGGGCACAGCAGGGGTAACTCCGTCACCTCCAAGGGCACTGCAGCCAAGATGCTTAAATCACTGTCAGGGAACTCTCCCGACACCCCATTCCAAAGGTGCTGTCTCTGCTCCCCTGGGAATGTCCCAGATATGGCACTCGGCAGGGAGGAAAACACTGCAGCCTTAATCCTTCATTTCCCTCACCTCAAGCCATGGCAATGCAGAGAGGGAGAACCAAACATGGGGGAACCAGTCGGTCACTGCCCAGCCCTGCACATCCCCAGTGCCATCTGCAGCTTTCCCTGTGGAACATCCTCATCCTCACCCCCAGACCCAGCCATCCCATCCTGGCCAACTCTCCTTCAGTCCCCTTATCCTGCTCTAGAGCTGGGTGTTTCTCTCCAACCTGGACACTCCTTGGAAATCATATAAGCCCAGATGTCCTTACAGCCTTTTAGGTCAGCCTTCCAGACACATTACTTCCATCCCTTTACTTTGTAGGCTGTTGCCTCTCCTTGAAGGCCCCATAATTTACTGGTATCTGTCCCAGAAGATGCCTTCCAAAGAAGGCCCAAGCAACTGCAAGATCTCTTAGTCCATCATACTGGGATCCCCCTTCTCATGTGCTTGGGACTCACTTTGTTCCTGCCCTCCTCTTTATTTGCTTCATTGCAAACGGAATCCTATTTATGAATTAAAAGGGGTTTGGTTCCCAGCAGAGAAAAGAGAACTCCAACCACACTGCCCAACAGGAAGGGGGAAGCGTCCCACTCGCAGCACTGCAGAACACGCGGCTGCAACGCGAGCGCTCACCTGCGTGGAAGTACGGGCTCATGGTGTACGGGAATCCGAAGGGCAGCGGCTGAGGCGGTGGGAGGGAGGCTGGCGGCAGGTATTTCACCTCGGTTTTGTTGATGCCTGGCCCCAGCAGATGGCTGGGGGACTCGGCGCTGGAGGAGCTGCAGGGAGCGGTTTGACCGGGAGCCCCTTCACCCAGCTCCTTGGCCCCCTCGCACGCTTTGCCCATCTCTTTGCACTCCTTAAGCTCCGCGGCCGAGCTGCTGCTCTCGGCCTTCAGGCTCTCGGGCTTCTCATCGCTCACATCCGCGTCGCTCTCCGAGTCCTTCATCTCCTCGTCGTTACAGTCCGGAGCGCCATCGCGTGCCCGGGGCTCCGCCAGCTCCTTGGCCTCGCTCAGGCCCTGCGGCTCGGCGCGGTGATGCGCGGCTTTGCGGCTGCCGCGCCGGGGCTGCTCCTTGGGCGGCGTGGCGCTGCTGGGGACGCTGGGGTTGAGGGACAGCAGGGGGGTGTTGTTGTGCCGCAGCACCAGCATGGCGTTCCGCCGGGACAGCTCTTCCCGCAGCGGGTGCCCCTCAGGAATGTCGTGCACATTGCGCAGGGCCGGGTGGTCGGGGGGCAGGCCGGGGTGCAGGCTCAGCGGGTCTCCAGCCAGTAGCCTTTGCCTGTGGAGGTTCTCCAGCTCCTTCTGGCGGATGATCTCGGCTGACATCTCCAACCTAAATCGGGAGAGGCAGAGGGGGAACGTGATGGAGGGCTCTGGGAATAACCTGCTAACCCACCAGAGCTTGCAGGATCCAAGTGTCACCTCCACATCCACGCTTTGCTTCGCCTGGACACTGCTCTGCTGCCTGTGCACAGCCCACCCAACACAACATCCCGCATTCCTCTGCCTGCTGCCAGGAAAAGGAAGGACAAACCCAGCTCAAGCCCAAGCCCAGGCTGGTCCTACGCAAGCCTCACCTTGCCAGGTTTTGCTTCCGTAGCATCTCTTGCTGCCGTGCAAACATCTCTGCTTGTGCTGGCTGCAGGAACCCGTAACCTGGGGACAGGGAGAACGATACCATGGGGTTAATAATGTCAGCACTGACTCTGCCAACTCAGGGCCAGCTCCCCAGAGAGCTAACTGAGAGCTGCCTTTCTGTTCTGGAGCCCATCTATTCCCCCACTCCCAAGGCAGAGCAGCCTGCTGCTGAAACACTGGACAAGAGAGGATGATGGGGATTGAAAGAGAGAGCAGCCAAGGCAACCTGCTCCTATGGCAGCAAAACAAGGGTGAACTCAGCACAACAGCAATAGGGAGACACAGAAATGCACCTGGGCTGTTTGGCTGAAGGACAGTCCCAGCCTGCACCCTCACTATTCCCTCACCCTAGCCGAGTGTGTTTCTTCTGCACTCACCTGGTGTCTGGCACAGAGCTGAAGGCACCCCGAGGAAAGGAGGTCTCAAGTGGGGCCCCAGGGCAATGTGGGGTGCGTTCTGGGGTGAGAGCAGAGGCGGTGGGTGGGATATCTCCCTGCAGAAGAGATCAGAAGAGAAACGAATGTCAGACACCTGAAGGCTCCATCCACAGCACCCAGAGGGCCCTGGCGCAGGAAGAACACCCCTTCTGCAGACAACCTGCATTTTGTAGGAGAGGCTGTTGTGAGACAGAGAGATTCCTCCTCACCCATAAGCAAAACCTGTATAAGGGAGAAAAGAAAGAAGCAGAACCAGAAGGGGAAGAAAGCAGCCAGGACTCCGTAGGTCCTCCATACTTCCCACCTTGACATGTTTGCCTTTGAGCTGTGCTGTGCAAGGGGGGTTTGGCTGCCCAGAGCCAGCAAAGGCAAGGCGAGAGAAAAGATGTGAGGCAGAGAAGGACACAGACAGGAGACATGGGCATTGGGATGTGAGCAGGAAGTGCCATGGGGTCAGTAGAAAGGATACTGCTGGAGAAGGGGTGGGTGATGCTGGTCAGAACGGGCAGAGAAGGACACAGACAGGAGACATGGGCATTGGGATGTGAGCAGGAAGTGCCATGGGGTCAGTAGAAAGGATACTGCTGGAGAAGGGGTGGGTGATGCTGGTCAGAACGGGTAGGTGGAAGAGGTAGGTCTGAAAGGTGGGAAGAGGACAATGCCTGGAAGCAAGGCAGGTAGTGCTTGCCTGTGTGGGCAGGAGCGGGGAAGGCAGGAAGGGAATAAGAGCCAAGGTCTCTTCCATTAGTCAGATCTGCCCTGGGAGCCTGCAAGCAAATCTGCTTTCCGGCTGCACGTCTCTTAATTCCTTTTGATGGCCACTTACAACGTTATTACCTTCAGCAGGGCATCCAGAGGCACAGCTGAGTGCCGTGCCGTTTATTTTCATTTTACAGTATCTCCCTATAAAATCTGCTTCAGGAGAGACCGGAGGGCAAAAAAAGGGAGCAAGAAGGTGCCTGTGGCTGGCACAAACAGACCATACACACAACCACGCTCCCCCTTTCCATGGGGGAACAGCACGCGAGTGTGAGAATCCCAGGCACCCATCCCCACATTACCACCATAGCTCAGGAAAAGCCAGACAATGATTCTTTGGGAATGAGATGTGCAAGGAAAAGATTCCTGTTGTTCCCCTAGCTATTCCCAGCATAGCTTTATCCTCATTCTATGCCACACACTGACCCACTCACCAAACAGCCTGCGATTCCCCTTTGGAATACTCCCGTCTCCCTCCCCACTTCCCGCCTGCCTCTGCTCCCATTCCCCTGCCTGGCTCCATCTCTCCTTGCCTCCTTCCTCCCCTAGCTCTCCTCTAAACTAATTGCAGAGCCTGGCGTGTCTGGAGGAGAGCCACGGATCGATCGCTCGCTGTTGAAATGTTAATGCTAATCGTATCAGGGCTCCGCCAGCCCCTCGCACTTCAGTGGCAGCTCCAATTAATCTCAGGTAACGCAGCGCCTGACCTTCGGCTCCGAGCCGGGGCAGCAGCCAAGCGATGCTCATGTAATTACACCATGAAGTGTGTAATCACCTGCCCTAATCCCCGAGGCCTCACAATTAGCCGAGGCCTCGGTCGCTGGGCTGCCAAGTGCTTTTGCCACCCAGGACAGCCTGCAGATGAATAACGGACAATTAAAGCGGCATGACGGGGGCGAGGAGGTGTCCGTTCGATTGTAATTAGCTGTAATCATGGGCAGACGAGCCTGGCAGACGTGCTGCTCCCTTTATAAGAAGCAATTTAGGAAATCAAGTCGGTTTTAACCATTCCGTGGCCAGGCACGTGGTGCCCGTGCCCTCCCTGCCTGTTCTGTATGCAGGAAAAGGGGATCCTGTGTGAGAGAGCAAGCCCCCAGGCACACAGAGCTCAAGAGGAAATGCTAAACACAAAGAGACTGGCTTGGTTTTAGCCAGGAAGGGCCAGTCTATGCCCAGGGAGCATAGTGTTTGATGGGGATCTGCAATGGACACTGCAAAATCAAAGGTTCTCTCTTTAGTGGCAGCCCAATGTTAATCAGAGGCTATTTTGATGCTTTAATGTGGCACTACAGGGCTTAACATTGCTCCCTAAGGAATTCACATCTAGTCAAGGCCCTGTAGCTCATTCCCTCTGTTTTTCACGGAGGGGATCAACTCACACTTTGGGTTGGGAAGGGGGGTGGCAGGATGAAGCAGTGGCTGTGGGATCTGATTGCGTTGCCATGCTCATGGCTGAGCACTGCAGCTCACCGGGGCAGGGATGGAGGTCGTGGTAAGAGGGGGTGTAAGAAACACATTAGGAGCGACTTGGAACGTGAGAGGTCAGTCACTGCCCGTGTTACACACACAGCACACGCTGGGGATGAGCCCAAAGGTTTAGGGAACTCCGGGAGACACATTTGCATGTGCTGTCATCATTCCTGCCTGACACAGCGCATGGAGACCCTGGAGTCCTCCTCTCAGCGACCAAACACATGCAGAGCACAAAGCTGCTGGGTGAGCAGATAAACAGGACCAGCCAAAGGTCCTGCACCTGTGATATGCATGGAATCTGAAGTGAGGGAACGGAGGCTGCACACAGCCAGACATGAGACACTGCACCTCCCCTGCATCCCCTAATGCTCATCATCAGGTAACTGAGGAAGCAAGCAGGTATGCTCATAAATGGCTGGGGGATAACAGACTCTTCTCTCTGTTAGACTGACTCTCCCCAGCTCACGTTGCAGACCCAAAGGAGATGGTCCCCACCAAGGACAGACATCCCACAAACCCAGCCTCCTGCCATCCAGGAGCAGAACCTGTTGGAGCCTTCCACTGCTCCTTTCCAGCCCATCTGCCCCATCCTTGGCATGGAAACCTGGCACAGGAGGGAGGGAATGCGACCAGGCCATGTCCTGGCACAGAGCTGGGAAGCCCTCCCAGGCTGCCTGGTGCAGATATAGCCTATTGCTTCCAAGCAAGCTTGGAAATGAACTGGCAACCCTGGAGTAAAAAGCCCCAGAGACCTTAACCAAAGCTACTGTGCTTTTAGGCAGACATGCACCAAAACACAAACCCTGGCATCCTTTCTCAGGCATGGATCAGCCTTGAACTCCCCATTAGTTTCCTTCCTCCTCTTCTTCTGCCTCTCAGAGTAAGACCTGAATTACAGGCCCATACCTGGAGAATGTGAATTTAGCCCTTGGCAATCACATCTGATAAGCCTTGTCCTACCTTGCAGAGAGCAATTCTGTGTTCCTGTATATTCCTCCCCACATCTCCCCTTTTCTTTCCCTCCCCCAGTATACCAGCTGGAGGCCTGTGAGCAGGGTATTAGGGGATTTGCACTGCATGCTGCTAAATTTGATATGTCCTTTAACAGGAGACAAATGGTTCACAAGGCTTAAAAAGTATCGACTTTTCTTTAACAATAAGCACTAATGGCCTTCAAATAATCAATATTTAAAGTCATTATGGGGTTACACATTATACTGTTAAAACCAAGCCTTTCACTTTAACCCCCTCATATCCTCCCAAGCAGAGAGCAGTGCTCTCCCCCAACTCCCTCCAAGCTCAAAAGAAAGGCTCGGAGCTGTGACTGGAGATGGGAGAGGGTCAGGAAATGCAGATTGAAACCGGCAAGGCATGGAAATAAATTCAGAACGGATGGAAGAGGGGGGAGAAAGAAAAGAATGCATGAAAGCTCTGCTTGCTTCTGCTTTGCATTTGATAGGAAGAGACACTTCAAACCTGAGGTAATAGGCAAGCAGCACACAGCTCCTTGCTGTCTGCCACCCACAGACGCTGTCTGGGCCAGGAAGGGCTTGCTAAAAATGGTGTTTGGGGTTTCCAGGCAAGAGACACACACTGACACTGCTCTCTAGGGCAGCAACGAGGCCTGGACACAGAGAGGGGTTGGTTTATGCTGCCAGGAGAAATTGCTCCTTCAAGTTCAAACTGGTGCTAAAACCACAGCAGTTAAATCGGGTCAAGCTCTTTGGCCTTGGCTCTGCACAATGGTCAGGCAGCTGGGACCTGGGAGGCATCTTCCCAGTGCAACAAGAGGGATACAGCATTCACAGCAGAGGTGAATGCTGGGGTGAGGAAGAGGAGGCTGGATGTGAGGTTGGGGTGAGGAAGAGGAGGAAAGAGAATGTGTTCAGAGAGGACAGCAGAACATGCCCAAGGAGCCTGGGGTGTAATGGAAAGCATCCGTGAGGCAGGGAGGGGAATCAGGCGGTGAAAGAAAAACAGCAGCAACAGCAGATGGGAAGCACAGAGTCCAAAAATCCTTTGCTGCCATTCCAGGCACACTCTTGCACAGAGAAAGGCCCCTGGGTGATGCACAGTGTCAGCCTTCTGCAAGGGAAGGGTGATGGGTGCATCTTTGAGGCTCTGTGGCTCCCACAGTGGCCAAAGGGCTCGGCTTCCCAGGACCCGGCAGATCAGGATGCTGATGGCATCTCAGGCAAGGCAGCATTTCTCGCTCCTTGGCATTCCTCCTGCCTTCACCCCATAATCATCTATGGTCATGGAAGATGAATTGTGCTTCTAATGCTTCTTACAGACAGCACCAGAGACTGTGGAATGCTATTGCCAAGGTACCTGCCTCAACGCTTGCCCTTTCTCCAACTATAATGTGCCTTCTCCTCAACCTGTGAGAGGGGGGCAGGTTCTCCCACACAGACCCCATGCCATACACACGTGAACGAGCTCCTAGTAACTCATAACTGATCCATCACGTTCAGCCTAAAAGCTTCCCCACACCAATCTCACTGTCAGACAGCTCATCCAGCCTAGTCTGAGCACCCATGCAATAACTTCCATCTGCAGGGTGTAAAAGTTTCTCCTTGAAGGAAGGTGAAGGAAATGTTCCCTGGCCTTCACACACACTAACCTGCACTGTGAGAAGCAGACTGCTCACTTCAAGAGTACTACCAGGAGCTGAGTGCCTTGGGGAAGAACATGCCAGGCTAAACGACCCCAGCAAAACCAAGTACATTGCCAACCAATTCTGAAGACAGGATTCAACAAGTAGGATCCAAGGAGTAAGATCCAAGCAACTCTGCAGGGCACAGCCACCTGCCATTTTTGCAGGAGACACGGCAGCCTGGAGATGGGAAGTACTCCAGGTTGGAGTAGTTACAGTGACACCTTTAAGTCGTACCCTTTCCTCTTCCAAGTCTTTTTATAACACTGAACTCAACAGTCTTTTCAAACCAACCACCGGGTCCTGGCTCTCTATAATCCAGGCCTGGATCAATCTAGAGAAGGCTCTAGGAAAGCAAAGCCATGAAACCAAATGGATTCTCAAGCCTGCAGCTTGGCAAGACTCATCAGTTTTACTCTTTCCAACAGAAGAGGAAGCTGAAGTGAAGAGCTGAAGGGACCACTACTCCACTAAAAGGACCATGGAAGTTAGTCCAAGAAAATCCATATTCAGAGTGTCTGTGCACATATGGGTATCACCCTCTTCAGAGCCAGCACCCTCCTGCCTTGTGTTTAGCATCACTAAACCCACCAGCCTGTTTATGACCAGCAAAGACAGGTATTAACTAGTTGACAAATGTCTGACCATACCCATCTTCCCAAGTATTCCCTGGCTTAGATTCATCACCCACTTCTTTGCACCTGGAAACATGGATATATACAATTCCCACTAACAGGCAAAGGTTTCTGCATTCCTGTCTTTGCAAAACCAGCAGCACTGCCCTGATAAATAGAACTGGATCACCAGGACAGGTTTCCCCCCCTTGCTTTGCCAGACATAAAGGCTGAAGTCTAGAGAGCCTAATTATTCTTGCCCACAAAGCTGCTGCACTGGAGAGCTGACCTGATCCCCACAGATCTCCTGATAGGAAGCTGAAATGGAATTTTAACACCATGCCAAACAGTTCACATCCCCCTGCATCATGTGTTATTGCTTCTGCTCCTGGGAAAGGAGATGCTGTAAATCTACTTACAGTTTGCCTATGCACGTGAGCCAGCCTCCTCCAGCGCCTTCTCCTCTGTCAGTGCCTACCTGAGCCCTTTAAAATTTCTCTACCTTCATAATAAAGGTTTGATTTACCCTCTTGACAAAGACCACAGCAGCCAAGTACAAAACCCAAGGCTAACAGCAACAGTGAGAAAGGAAGGGAGAAGTTAACCCATACAGTGCTTTACTGCAATACATGGCCATGGCTTCTCCTGGCATGACCTAAAAATGCCTGTGGTGCTATGGCAAAACAGCAAGAAGCAGTTTGTGCAGGACAGCTCCAACCTGGCCATGTCTGAGTGGGAGCAGAGTGACCCTTGGTGACACTCAGGCGGCTGCAGACTGGAGAAATAACAATCACGAGTACTAACGTCAAACAGACTGACCAAGTCATGACTATGGGGCACAGCTGTGGCTTCCCATTTCCCAGCAGGACTCCCCAGCTCTGCTAAGTGAGGATTATCACACCTGAGAGCCTGGCCAAGCAGGTTGGCCAGCCAGGGCCCTATCAGACCCTCCCTGTGGGAGCAGATGACTGCAGAAAAACAGGCAGTCTGGTCTGCTATGCCTGGGAAAAGAAGGAATCATGGGATGCTCCCAGCCAGGCCCACCATGGTGATGCTTATAAAACCACAGAATGGTTTGGGTTGTAAAGGGACCTTTAAAGACCATGAAAGCAGGGTGTCCAGAGCAGCTGTGGCTGCCCCATCTTTGGCAGTGCTCAAAGCCAAGCTGGACGGGGCTTGGAGCAACCTGCTCTAGTGGAAGGTGCCCCTGCCCATGGCAGGGGTTGGGACTGGATGAGCTTTAAGGTCCCTTCAACAAAAGACACTCTGTGATTCTAAGATGAAAATTAATGTTTTTCCAATCATTAACTCCTCGCCTATGGTCTCTGTCCCCTGACCTAGTGAGCAGCTTCCTTCCCCCTCCCACAACTGAGGAGGAACAGCAGCCCTAACTCCAACTGTCCTCTCAAACTGGGGGGTAACACCCTCTTCCCAAACAATTTAACACCCCCTGGCCTAGACAGCTCCATTACCTGCAGTACCTGTCTGGCTGTAGCAAGTACCTCTGGATTTGATGCACCTAACTCCTTTTCAGCCTGCCCTCCTATACGTGCAGCACCTCCCCATAGCATCCTCCACCCTTCCGGACGCGCGGTGTTAGCCAGGCCTCCGGCTGGCCTGGCGCTGCTCCAGCCCACACAGAGCTGGAGACGCACTCCCTGATGAGAGCCTGCACTCAGACTCCTCTATCTCTGCATTCCTCACAGCTCTGCCTACAATCCATATGGACTGGGCTGGATTTAATTGGGTGGGTGAGCCAAAGTACACCAGCTAGGAGAAAGCATTCCCAGGTCTGCCCAGCTCCTGACCGCTGGCCAGAAAGAAGGGAAAACAGATTGCATCTCCAAGGCTATAAATGTGGGGGGTGATTTTGAACTCAACATACATATATCCACAGACTGCTGCCTGCCCCCACCCCAAGATGAAAGCCAAAAGAGTCTGGATACTGAAGCTTTTCATGCTTGTAGTATGATGCCCAAAGCCTTTGCACCCCTGTGGCTGTCAGGCCCTCTCCCACCTCTGTTATCCTGGTCAGAAACACACACAGCTTTAATTTAATTCCCAGCTGAAGTGCTTGATTGAGGAGGGGATGGCTCATGGCACAGAGCAAGATAAATGAGATGTAATTTCAGAGTGGGGATCAGCTTTCCAGTGCTTCCATCAGTGGTAAAGGCAAACTGTGCATCTTTCTTCCTCAAAAGAAAACTACTTTTTTCTACTCCATCCTAAAGCACTGGCACAAGCTGCCCAAGAAAGCTGTGGCTGCCCCATCCCTGGCAGTGCTCAAGAACAGGATGGGTGGGCTTGGAGCAACCTGCTCTAGCGGAAGTTGCCCCTGCCCATGGCAGGGGGTTAGAATCGCACTTTGGCACGTACCTAACCCCTGAGGGAGATGGTAACACCTTACCTGGGCAAATCAAACCCACCCTGCTGGTACCTCCCCATCCATAAGCTCCTATAGACCACCCCCTGCGCAACACCACCACGACAGGAGCAAACCCCGCCCCAAGGCGGCGGTGATGGGCGGCCGGCCCTGCCCAGCCCAGCCCGTTTCCCCCCCGCCACCTCCCGCGGTACCTCTCGGGGAAGTGTGTGTCCCTGTGCTGGGGCAGGCCCTGCTTCCTCCGCTGGCTGGAAGAGTTGCTGGCCGAGGGGATGTGCGCTTCCATCGCGCCGGGGTTCCGCGCTGCCGCCGCCGCCGCCACTTCTTGCCGCGCACGGAGGAGATCTGGGGAGAAGGAAGGGATTGAGCCGCTGGCCCCCGGACCCCGCACCGAGGCGCACACACACACACACACACACCGCTCCAGCGGCTACTCCGGGCTCTCCGCGGGCGACGGGGCTGCTCCCGGCCCGTCCCTCCCCGCAGCCCCTCGGGCGACAACGGGAGCTCCGGTGCTCCGCCTGTCAAGCGGCGGCCCCGCGGGTCCCTGCCCCGGGCACTCACTGTGCGGAGAGGGATCCACCTCCGAGGGAGTTCGGCAGCGGAGGAAATTGTGCAACTACGAGAGGGGGTGGATTGCTGTTTAATTGCCTTCCTCCTGCTGGAGGGAGGGAGGGAGGGAAGGAGAGAGGGAGGGAAAGAGGGGAGGGAGGGAGGGATTGGGGAAGACAAAACGGAGAGGGAGGCTTCCCGAAGCCTGCCCCCCGCTCCCGGGGCGGCACGTCCCGGTCCCCGAGCCAAGCCGCAGCGTTATCCGCTACCGAGCAGCCTCTATGCGGGTTTAGAGACCGGGTTTGAGCCCGGGACCCCCGGGGAGGGGGAAGCAGCGTCCCGCGTGTCCCCAAACCACATCCCGGCACCTCCTGCTGCCGCCAAACGTCGGGAATGGCGGAGACACCGTTCCTTTGGGCGCCCCACCATGGCCGGGAACATCCAGCTCCAGAAGAATCACAACGGTTCAGAGCACATGGGGGCACGGCCGGGCTGCACCTGCCCAGCACAGCTCTGCAGTCAGAAGGGATGCAGAGGATGCGGTACATCTGACCATTGGTGGACAGACCCATGAGAGGTGCAGTGGCACGGGCACACACACCAGCTGCACTGGCTGAGGTTCTCCCTCTCACAATTAAGTATCAGGAACCCCTCAGTTCCTGCACCTACAACCTGTGGGTTCCACCAACCTGTCTCTATCCCACACCAAACCCTCTGCTGCCGTTCACATGGTACACAGGAAGCACACACACAGATGCACACTTAGAGGAAACCTTTTTCATACACTCCCCATGTGCCACAGCAAAAGGAAGCCAAAACACAGCTGAGGAGAGGAGGGTTTATCCTAATGAACACATACTGAGATCTCCGAGCACTCCACATCCAGTGGCATTATTAGTCCTCTCCCCGCAAGCAAGTCATAATGAAGGTTAACGTGAGTGTGACATGGCCCTGGGGAATGCTGCACTTTCTGTCTCCTTGCCCTCCTTTACACCACCACACTATTTTCCTTTGGTGCTGGAAATCCTAGGCATCCATATTCCCATTAGCTCCAAGCTTAGCTTGACCTTCACCAACCCCCATGTATTTTGGGGCTGGTCAAGGCAGAAACCCCATGATGGGACAGCAAACTGGGGTGGCAATGCTGACACCGCTGCTGGTACCTGAGCGCATCCAGCCACATTCATGCCCACCCAATCCCCATCCCACATCCCCAAACTGAAGAGGACAAGCATCCAAATGATGTGCAGTTCTGAGCAGCATAGCCATGCAGGACGCTGCACAGCAACAAACCCCATCAGCTGGCATGAGAAGCTGGAGAGCTCAGCGAGCGTGCACCTTCACTGCTTATAAATTCCTTATCTGAAACCCCCAGGTCACTCCCGATTGCCACGGTGCCTGTAATTTACAATTCTGGCATGCAGCCACTTCCAGAAGCTTCACTGATCCTAAATGACCGCAACACCCCCCCCCCCCCCGCACCCCCTTCTCCTTGCCCAGACCCCCCCCACCTCCAGGGTCTGTTATTTACAATCCTGCACTCTGACAGTTGGGAAATCAGATTGATTGACAGTGGGACGCTGGCGGATGGAGGTTCCAGGCACGGAGACAGCCTGAATGCAGAATGTGGGATGAATGCCACTGGGAGAATGGGGGCGGAGGAAAGGGGGGAAAGGGGGGGGGGGGGAGGGTTGAAAAGCAATTAAAAAAAGAAGATTTCTAAATTATTAAGAGTTGTTCAATTATTAATGCTATTGGTGCCTCCATGTGAGCCCGCAGATAAACTGCGCTTTGTACCGCCACTAATAATTTATAGCCCGATCAGAGCCCTTTGGTGCGGAGACAACCCAAAAACACACCAGGTTTTGTGTTGTCCAATGTTTCACACCAGGCTCTGTCCATGCAGGCTCCTCTTCAACCCCCTGCCCACCCCAAAACCTCTGTGTGACCCTTCATTGATGAGACAGTTTAATCATAAGAATACCTCAGGCTTTTAACGCAATGAGCTACTCTGCTCATTCCATGGGGAGAGAAGGGGGTGACAGCAGCTCTTCTGCTGCCTGAATATGCATGTTCCCTGTGTCCAGCAGCCAGCCAGAGCTCAGGTTAAGTGCTCTGTCACAATACCAGTACACACAAGGTGTTCTGTGCTGAGCACATGCCCTGTTGTATTCAATATGGTCTACAAGGACCTGCGTGTCGTGGTTGAACACTCAGCATTTGCCTGTCTGCATGTGTCACTCTGTTGTGCATGATGCATGTTATACACTGTCCTCTCATACTCTGCTTGTGTTCTTTGCATGGATGTATGGAAACTCACGTGGCTTTTCCCTGTACATACCTATGTATCATGCTTGCAGCTCTGCGAATGCCTGGGACAGCTGAACAGCACACAAATAAGCATGTGCCACGTTCACGACAGTGTTCCTCAGCACAGGTTTATGCCATGCCTTTGCTGATAAGCAAATCCTTACTCCTCAGTGAAAGGAATCGCCTTCTTGCCCCCAGAGAAGCCAATCAAATCAAACAGAGTGGAAAAGAAGACAGCCTCTTCATTAACCTAACAAGGAGCTCTGGGGATTTACACTCTAGAGCAGAGATTCTCCTCCAGCTCTCACTGGATGCTTCACCGATGTTGCCTGTGCTCCTTCCCTGGATCACGCAGGCAGGCACCTGCCATTACTGCAGACCAAGCCGAGCCAGCTTTGCTCACCCCAGGGAAGGAGAAGGGGGCTGAGGAGCCTTTGGCCTGCGGAGGGAGATGCTGGTGGCTCCCGTGCTCTGGCAGATGTGACTGCCTGGTGCCCCCTTTAGGCACAGCGCAGGAGGCTGCAGCCGGCCTGGATTTATCCAGCTTCCCCCGCAGTAGAGGCAAAACCTACCAGCATCCCCGCAATCCACGTGGGGATCCATCAGATCCTGGTACTGCGGGGCCCTTACTCCCCAAAGACGCCACTCCAGCCCCAGAACACGGCAGCAGCATTGGGCAACAGTTATCTATTAATGAGGAGGCTGTTTCAGGGCCAGGGTTTTGATTTTCCCCTATGTAACTGCACAAGCATCAGCCTTTTAAAGAGCTCCTTTTAAAGAGCAGATTGGCAGCATCTTCCCTTGAACACAGACACCAGTGCAGAAATACTCCCGAGCTGCCACAGCCTAGGAACAGCAGACAGGCACATACAGAGGCACAATCTGCAATGCATGCAACAGCCCTTAAATAAATAAGGCCCAGGGGTCTCTCAGCTATCCTCATGTCCAGCTCATCCTCAGAGAACCAAATCATCCTGGGAAGGTCTGAGTGCTGGAAGCTGCAACCTACAGGGTCGTCATGGCAATGCTCTGATGGAGCCCTCCCAGAGTAAGCATCCACTGGGTATGGAAGAAGTTCTCTCCCTTTCAGCAACCTTCCCCTCACTTTTCCACAGCAGATCTGGTTCTAGCTAGTGAAGAACCTGCTCAGTCCTTAGTGATGCAAATGTAATTGCCTTCAATGGATGATACTGTGGATGAACCTGGCCCATGGATTTCATGCCTGCTCAGCTGTCCTCCCTGCAACTTAGCTTCATCTACATATTTTAATTGTCTGTAACATCATAGACATCTAATTCTCACTAAGGTGATAGGTCTTTAACACCAATTTATGTGATGTCTGTGCGTAGCAACTACTGCAGAAACTTTCTAAGCCTATCACTATCAAGGTTTAACCAAACCCTGCAACATCACCTTGCTGTTTCAGATCCCAAACAGCAGGAATATCTGGCATTACCTGCATCTCACACCCTCCCCCAGCATTATGCCAACACTCATTCCCCTTGTTCCACAGTATGACCTAAATAAGACACCACAGGAATCTGAATATTCAGATTGACATGAACTCTTGAAACAGAGGAAGACAAGGACTCCCCGCTCTGCCACTGCAAAATACACAGTAGTGATGCTGCAGTTCATCGATTCAAGCAAACAAACATGTAGCCACCCCCAGATGGCTACATAAAGTATTAGTATTCAGAGATGGTGGAGGGCAGATGCCCCACAAAGATGATGGGAGAAAGGGTCTGTAGCATTCTCTTTCACACCACCTACATTCATTGCATGGCACACACACACACCACCTCATCCCATAAACCCTCCTTACATGCACACAGGGGTTAGAGACATCTTAAAAGGCAAAAAGCAAAGCGAGCCCCTTCTTCTCCCATCTCCGAGAGCCTGTACCTCCATGGCTGGGCACTGCCATGCTGTTGGCCAGCTGGTAGAGACGCTGCTGCTGCTCCTCAAAGGTGCTGTGCTCATTCAGCGCCGACATCATGCGCCTGTAGTGCTCCTCCGGGGTCATCTGAGTCACCGAGTCCTCAAGCAGAGGCGTGTGGGAGTTTTCTGAAGAGCAGAAAGATTTGGTCTTTTTCCCCCCCCCATAGAGAAATAGAGTGGAACATCACATAAATACAGGGGCAGTGCAAAGACAGAGCACGATTTCTCACAACTCTATTGTACCCACTGAACTTGAGGTACCACGCTGCCAAAAGCTGCACTCGTGTTCCAAAAGGTACTATTACATGGGGTCCAGACACACCTACAAGCTGCTAAACCTCCAAATGGGCAAGGGAAAACCCACAAAACACCTATGTACAACTTCTTTTTCTCCCTTTCCCTAAAGCAACAAGCACTGCATTATGACAACAAGAAATTCCCAGCCCGCTCCTTACCCCCAAGGTGGCAGAGGACAGGCAGGATGAAAGAGTTCAGAGTTCTCACCCTTTCACCTCGGGGGATGAGAGTTCTTCCTTTCAGTTAATTCCTGATGAGACACACACCCCTTTCCCCCACCTCTCTGAACACCTGCAAGGACACACTATGTGAGAGGTGCTCAAGCACCCAGTGCAGGTGATGCTGACAGCATCACCCAACAGTGATGACAGTCCAGCTGCCTGGACTGTCTTGGAGGGAAGTCACAGGAACACTTTGGCTTATGGCTAAGCACCCTGAGGCCATTAAAATCACACCCAACACGAATACCTCTCCATCTGCCTGGAATGACTGCACAGGGAGAGGCTTTGAGGAAGGCCCTGCCTGCTGCCTGGGCAGCAGGGATCCCACTCTAACAATCAGGGAGATAAAACCACAGAAGGCTTTCTGTTTACTGTAAGCAGAACTCAGAGTAATTACCCTTCTCTGCCTTGGCGGTGGCTGCTCTAACACTGTTTTATCTTGCATCTTCCCCACAGGCAAAGCCTTTTCATTACTGAGAGAGGAACTCCCAGGAACAATCTCCACAGGCAGAAGGGAGGGAAGGGCTCCCCCCATGCTGCAGTCACCAGACCAGCACCGTGTTCAGTGAATGACAAGACCACCCTACCGTGTGCCCCAGATTTGTGCTCCTTCATCCACCTCATTTCACATTGTCCCTCAGGGATCCTGGCAGGTGACTCTGCTGCTACATTGCCTCCGAAGTCAAGGTGGTGGCTCTGAGCACGAGCCATTTGCTTTATGCTGTGGCCAAAGTGCATCTTGCTGGGAAGAGAGCTGTGGAGCTCTACCAGGTGACAGGAAGGCCCCTAAGCTAGAAAAGATAGCCTGTGGCCATCAAATACAGCCCAAGAGACAGAGTAGAACGTGCCCTGCCATGGCTGCTCAGGAACTGGTTCACTTCTGCCTTGGAAGGGATAGCATTATTGTAACTACCCATATTGATAATATATATACCTAGATATGAAGGGATAGCATCAATAATAATAGTCGTTATAAAAATAACAATGAAGTTGCAGTCAAAAGGATTGCACCACCTGTTCCCAGGGCACCAACTTCAGTCCCCTCCCCTCCACTGCAGTCCAGCCATCCAGCCCAGCACAGATCCTCACAGCAATTTGTGGCTGTATCTGCAACCACTGATCTCTACCCGTGTCACAGAGCTGTATCTCAGGGACCACAGGCTTCCTGTGTGAATCATAGGTTCATGGGTTTGCTTCAAGCCAGGAGCCAGGTCCCACCCTGCACATCACACCTAGGAACCAGACCTGAAGGATGGAGCTGCATGAAGCAATGTGCCTGCCCCCTTCTTCTCCCCAGCTCTGGTACCCAAACCTGCAAGCCACCAGTGGAAGGAGCAGGGGCAGAATTCCCTTCCAGGTCCATTTCCCACCAAATCAGACTCCCACATCATCCTCCTCTGCTCTCTTGCTGCTTCCCCCAGGAATACCGAAGTGCACCAAGCATCAGTCCCCTCGTGATGCTCTTACCAAAGGCCTAAGGAGCAGAGCCACAGGCCACAGACCTGATTTAGAAAAACACTGATTTCCACACACCACCCCCCCAGCTGTGTCATTAGAGGAAAAAAGGGAGGAGGGAGGGGATTTAATAACACTTAATTACCATCAACTCTATCCGATCAGCCGCAGAGCAGATTTCAGGTGCAAGGAGGGGAGGGGGAATGAGGGTGGCAAGGGGAGGCTAAGAGGAGGGAGTCCAGGGAAAGGCTGGATTTGCACCACTTAAAACTTGGAAGATTTCACATGCCTCAGCCAGGGGTAATTCCAGCTTTGCTGCAGCTTTGCTGTCTGCTTTTGTCATTACCAGGGGTAATGCGGGAGACTGATCCCGACAAATCTCTTCCAGCCGCCAGGTGTGAAATGGACCCTAGAGCAGGCATTGGGAAGGCAGGGCCGGGGCAGGCATCTGCTGGGGCTCTCAGTGCTCCAGAGTGCTCCGTGTCCATTCAAACCAAGGGGAGCTCACTTCTCCCTCCACCAGCACCACCAGAGTCCCAATGGGAGCAGCCAAAGGGAATGCAGGCTGAGGTTTTCTGCTCTGCTTGAAGGACCTGTCATTGCTGCACAACCTTTTCATCACGCTTTTGTAAGGCTCATCCTCCCCATTAGATTAGACTTAGATGAGACACTAGGAAAAGAAGCTCCTCCCTGTGAGGGTGCCCAGAGAAGCTGTGGCTGCCCCATCCCTGGCAGTGTTCAAGGCCAGGTTGGATACAGGGGCTTGGAGCAAGCTGCTCTAATGGAAGGGGTCCCTGCCCATGGCAGGGGTTGGAACTGGATGAGCTTTAAGCTCCCTCCAACCCAAACCAGTCTATGGCTCTATAAATCCCAGACAAGATGGGAACACCCAGCCTGTCCATCTCCTCCTCTCCTACAACAAGCTCATGACAGGCCAAGGCTGTCTTTACTAAACCACAGTAAAAGCTTAAGGAGCCTCCTGCAAAAGCATCTCACTCTGTGTTCAAAGCCAGGTCTTAGTAAGATCCTCACTGTTACTTGCCAGGGCAGAGAAGGCCGATGCCCACTCCCACCACATCCAGCAGTAGAGATGCTGGTAGCAAGAATGGGCCCAAACATGACTTCTTCATCTGGCCTAAACCGACAGCTGCCAAACCCATCAACATATGGATCTCCCCATCTCCAAAGGGGAGGAATACACTGGCAGAGGCTGGATCTAGACTGTCATTCAGCTCCAGTTCTGGTCTACTCCATTAACCAGACATGCACTGAGATTTTGTTTTGTTTCAAACGATCTACAATGGCAAAGAAAGGAGAATGGCAGAAGGAGCAGCATATGAGTTCATCAGCCCACCCCAGGGGGTGAGCACAATATTGTTCCCTACATGTGTTTTCCAGCACTTAGTCCAGTTTGTTTTCCAGTCTTCCCAAACCAGGAGCCTTCTACCCCATTTATTTGCCAGCAGTTCAAAGAGGATCCAAACCCCTCTTCCTGGGTTTTCCCTTTCTGCCATCGTTCAGTTCTATTTCATGTCTCCAAGTATCAGAGATGCGCATCTTCAGACACGCTGCTGCCGCAGGAGCGAGGGTTCTACTTGGGGGATTGTCTCCCAGGGAGAGAGCTTCCTCTGTGACCTGCCAGCACAGCCCTCAGCCGAGCCTCTGATATGCTCACATTTCCATATTAGACACGAGAACGTTCTGCTCTGTTTGACAGCAGCGCTGGCGCAGCCCTGTTTCCACTGAGATAGGGCTCTCTTTTGATCTCTGGTGCGCACACTGCGAGCACTGGGGAGGGGGAAGGGAAGGTTACTGCTTCCCTGCTGGAAGGGTTTCAAGCCCTACAGGTGTTTTTGCACTCAGTCGGAGAGGAGGAGTGATTTACTTGGCTGCCTCCCTTCTCCCTGCCTGCCCAGGCGCAGCCACAGCAGCACGAGATGCGGGGTCACTTCTCCTCTTCAAAGGGCTGGTTTGGAGACAATGTAGCTGCAATGGGGAGAGGGCAGTCCCCACCTCGAGATGTGCATCACCCCAAGAGAGTGATGGCGGAGGAGCAGCACCCACACCAGGCACAGCACCCGGCTGGGGAAGAAGGAAGGGTGCATCCCAGGGAGCTGCTGCAGACCTGGCTCGGACCAGAGGAGCCTAGTCCTCGTTTCCCTTCCCATTCCTGTATGACAAACTGCACTCACAGCATCTGGGTCTCAGCCAAGCCTGGGGCTCTAGCACAATCTCACACTTTACAGCACTGCTCCAGAGCAGCAGTTCCCAAATTCCAGATAATTAGCCACTAGGGTCCATCCTGTTTGAAAACAGGTTGTCACAAACCCTGATCCTTCCATTTCCAGCCAGCTCCTTACTGCAGAGCTGGGAAAAGAGGGACTGTTTCCTCCCAGTCCTCCATGGTACCCATGCCAAGGAACACTGCCTGCCTGCTGGTGGGATAGGAAGTCTGGGAGTTCTCAGCTGCAAGGTGCTCTCAGAGTCTGGGGCTTAAGACACAGAATCAGTGGCTATAGCCCTCTCTTTGAGCCCATTTTCACAGCAGGGACTGGGTAGGTAAAGGCCCCCAAAGCATGAAAGTCTCTCTCTCTATTCTGATGCTATTCCAGCATCAGAACAGCCTAGGCTTCAAATGGCTGCCACAGTGGAGAGAACAGGGGTTCCCCAATGACCTGATACAATAAACAGGTAACATGGGGGAGCAGAGAAAGGCCCAGCTCAGAATTTCCACTGTCTCAAACCCTTTCAAAGGGCAGGGAAGGCTTTCAGAGAAACAAGTGGGTGTAGAAAAGAGAAGTTTCTTTATGCAGGGCTTCCAAGGAACCCCTCTGTTAATGAATTGGGGGAATCCCTGAGTCATTCAGAGCTAAAGGAGGAGTGCAGAGTGCAAAGCCAAGGGCTGCTCAACCCACTCAAGTGAGCAAAAATGGTGGGAAGGCCAGAGGAGAAATGGAATGAGATCCTCTGACCCTGCTGCTCCCATGGCAAACCCGTCAATTCGTGCAAGTTCAGCCACTTTATGAGGGGGAATCCAAATGCAATAGTTTGGTTCCAGATGGCTTGACTCCAGTTTAGCCCATTCTCAGCCAGACCACACAGGTTGCTACTCCCTGGGTTCCCTTCCTAAGCGTGCATGTCTTGGGATTACCAAGGATACAGACTCAGCAGAAACAGCAAAGATGACAGCAGGTGTTTCAAGTGGGTTACAGGAGCCTCATGCCCCTGTAGAACAAAAGCATTTCAGGATCTATAGAAGCATCCTGCTGGAAAGTTACCTGCACATCTACTAGAAACAGGGATAACAAGAATAGGGCAGATAAAGAAATCAAGGAAAACGGGTACAGAGTAGCAGTCTATAGGAATCCTCTTTGCACCTTTCAGAAAAGCCCAGTAAAAAGCTAACAGATTCCTACTTGCATTACAGAGTTACCAGGCAGGAGAGGGTTACATGAAAGAAGAGATTTAGTACGTTCTTCGGCAGTATTAGCAATGTTATACTAAGTGACACTAGAATTCAACATCCTTCCAGAGATGCTGCCTTTCGGATCACAATCTGGGGACACGGAGTCAAGAAGAAACAATATACATTATGCAACACTTATATATACAATACTTCCATATACAATATGCAACACATATATTGCATAACGTAAGTAGCTTAAGAAGGCTTCAGGACAAACTGATTCCCTGGATTTGGGAATATCCACCTTGAAGAGCCTCAGCTGCTGCACTCCAAACCCATCAAACCCAGGATTTAGCTTCTACTCTGCTTTGTTTTTTAGGGGATTTTAGCAGCCTAAGAGCACAGGACAGGCAGAGTGACGGAGCTGGGTATTCCTGACAGCTAATTAGGTTGAACTTAACAACAAAGCCTTGAAGTGAAGGGCCTGCAAAACCTCATTTACACAACCTTGAGCCAAACTCATTAGCTGCAGGCTCCATTACCCACCGCACTTTGCCAGGCGTAAAGAAAGTTTAAACCCCCGTGTTTCTAGCAAAGAACCTTCAGACAAATCAAGAGATTCCATAATAATAATAATAAAAGAAGCTGTAAAAAAGAGAAACCTTCTGCAGATTCCATCTCTATAGGAACAGTGCCATAAATGCATACAAAAGGCAGCCCTATTCTCCCTGCTAGGCTTCTTTTTTCCCCCTTTAAAGGAACAGATGCCAGCACGATAAGCCTGTGTGTCTCTTTTTCTATTAACACATGTAACCAAGCTACTCTGCCTGAAAAGTAGAAATACCCCGAAAAATCCACCTCAAAGGCTGCAACGTGCTTGTTTTTAATCATAAAGCAATTATTCTAATGAAGAGGCAATCCCTTTCTCGCACTGCAAGCCTCCCTCCGATGAGATAAAGAAAGCACAGAGCACTGGTAGCCTCCTTCATGCACCCTCGGTGCCAGACACTCACAGCTCCCACCCCACAGCCTCTTTGCAAGCCTCCCTCCCCTCCCTCCTTAATTTCAATTAAGTTCCACTCTTAGGAAAGGAGAAGAAAGGGGAAGGGGATGGGGGGATGGAAAAGCAGCACTTACCCTTTGGGGACTCACTTCTGGCTTTCTTGCTTTCTAAAGGACACTCACTGCTGCTGTTGGGAGAACATACTCTTCTCTTGCCTAAAATCTCATCTAGAAGAGAGATGAGAAACCTGAGCATCAGATAAGGTTGTACTTTGCAGAAGCAAGCAGAGAGACTTTGGTATTTTGCTTTTCTCTCTCTCTCACACACACACACACAGACACACACATAGATATTATAAGCAAGGGGGGGGAATAGAAAGTAAGAAAAATCATCATCCTGAGAGCCTTGATCTGCTTTCCTAATCACGCAGCCCAAAAGCACATAATGACTATTCACACCCTGATCAATGCAACGCTCGAAAGCTATAAATTCCGAATCCAGTTGATTTCCTTACTGAGTTTCATCATTTGCTCTGGTGCCTTTTGTCCCCCTGGTGCTTCCACTCCTTTCATGCCCTGATGCAAAGCAACTGGGGGAGAGGAAGGGGAGGAAAAAAACAACACAGGGAAAAAAGCACAACAGATCTCTGAATCTTCCTACCACAGTATGTATCTGTCTCTCTCTCGCTCGCTCTCTCTCAATCTCTCTCTCCCCCCCCCCCCTTTCCTCCTCCTCCTCCTTCAAAACCTCAAGGTCCTTAGCAATCTTCCCCCTCTAGATTGTACGGAAACACTCAAGCCTTTTGCATTACTGCAGCCTCACAAACCCAACACAAAATATCTAATATACAATTACAGCGTCCCCGAACAGATTTAAAATCAATATCCTCCCATAAGGCTGGGGAAACTGAAAGCATGATGTTGCATATGGGCAGGAAGGAAGAGCCTGTTTGTCACTGCAAGCATCAAATTCTCATCTATCAAGGGCTCGTTAAAGATGCAGCATCTTAAGAAGAGGGGGGGGGAAAAGCCCCATCTCACAAACAAGCACCATGAGCTTTGAGGGAGCACACGTTGATGTGCCTGCGAGCCAACACGCAGGCAAAGCTCCTGCCACTCACCCCAAGTGTGGTGGGTAAGGAAGGTTACAAACCCCCTCGGTCCCGTTTGCAACAACAGGATTACTGCTGTGCCAGGGGACGTCTGAAGCCAAGCAGCTGTCCCTCATCCTCAGAATCACTCCAGTTACTCTGGATTGAGCCAAGCAAGCCCAGGTTGCTGCCTTGGCATTGGATTGCGCAAGGAGCTCCAGAGCACAGCTCTGTGGCTGCCACAGTGCCGAGGGCAGAGCTTGCCAGGCACTGCCTCCATCCAAAGAGCAATCCTGGGAGCCTGCAAAGTTCCAAGTGGCATTTCGAGGTTCTAAAGAGCACAAGATGCCTCCGACTGTATCTTGCCATGACCCTGTTAACAGAACTGATGCTCAGAGGCAACCGCGGAAGCTTGAAACTGTCCATAACCAAATACAACAGAACAGTGGCAAGAGGAAGAAGACGGGAAAGGAAGGAGCCAGGCAGTGACAGCACTTCGGTTTTCTCAGCACTTCATATCCCAGGTACTGAGCCAGCTCCTGCCTCAGTTTACCCTATAAATACCTTCTCCAAAGCCACAGTCCCTATGAGCTTGCCAAGCCAGCATCAAAGCTAGGAAGTACCTGGCCACACAGCACAGAGAGAGTCACAAGCTCCCTCCCCTTGGAAAGCTTCATTCTTCATGCTGATTTTCCTGGAAATGCCAGGCTGGTGCTGCAAACCCTCAGTGCTGGAGGCCAGGATCACACACATCCTCCTCGGGAGGGTTCTCATCCGGGATTTGTGGCTTTGAAACAACACAAGTCCCATTGCTCTGCTCGCCCCTCCCAGCCTGGCCAGGAGGCAGCAAAACCCAACAGGGCTTGTTTTGATATCCTTCAGGCAGGAGAGGCTCCATGGAGGAGCTGTGACAGCAGCACCAGCTCCATGTGACAGCAGTCAGAATACGAGCAGTGCAGATTCCTTGGTTTCACAACTCTGCCAAGGCACCTCATTACCCTCCTATCACTCCTTCTCTCTCGCTATTCCACTCCCACCCCCGTGTGCCCATCTGCCAGCAGACTCGCTCCGACTAGCACCATGCCCTGCTATTCCCAGGCACGTCAGCAGGACAGGCTGCAAGTCCCACCTCGCTCCCAACCAGCTGCACTTGGGCAGGGGAAGACTGAGATCACACGGTAGCTCTGAAGCAGCACCGTCTCCATCAGAGCTGTGCCCACCCATCTCCAGAACAGCCACTTGCAGCCCCGCGAACAGCCTGCATCCACACTGTGCCTTGGGGAGAGCTCTTGGATGTCTTGCAGTTGAGAGCTGAACTTTGCAGAGATCCCATGTTAGTGCATTCATCTCCAGGATGACCTGCAGTGTTTTCCTTCCAGCATCTCAGTCCCACACTGCACCAAAGCACCAGATCCCACACACCGAGTCTGTATGTGGGTTCCCCCCCCCAAGCTGTTTTCATGGCAGTCATCACAGAATGAGCATTTTCCTCTTTTTAATTCCCATTATTTAAGGCAAAGCCCTGGGACGTGTCAGAGGCTGCCTCTGTCCCCAGCAGTGTGGGTACTAAATCACCGAGATACAGAGTAAGCAAGAAAAAGGGAGTAATTATCACCAGTAGCCGGGATGGAGGCACAAAGATCTAACAATGCACCCCAAATTTACTGCAGCAGCAGACAGCACGAGACTGAATAACAACCTTCTGAATGCCAGTGCGAGGAGTCAGACCCCCCTTAGCTGCAAAGCAGAGAAAAGGCAGGTTGTATTTTCATTAGTTACTTACTAAACTCACAGATCACAACCTAAATGACAATGTATTCATATTACAGCAGCAATCCTTTCCTCTTTACAACATAAACCATATGCACAGCTTTGGCACATCACACAGTAAACAGATGCCCTTTACAGGACCCTGTGTTCTAAATTCATCCCCTTACACCCACGTGCAGTTCATCTAACCGTTCTTTGCCCTCACACAAAGAACCAGGATGGTGGTTGAAGGCATCGGGTTAGAAGCATCCACAGTCCATCTCCCCCTGACTTTGCAGCAGCAGCAGCAAAACCAAATATGTTTTGCAAATGAGCTGGCAGCAGAGCTCCTGGATGCCTTACCACCCTCACAGAGACAGGTTGTGCATTTAGAGTACATTGCCACTCATCGACCACAGAGCCAGCAGATAGCTGTTTGCTCAGCCCATGCACCACCAAAAGGCAACACTCCACCTCAGAGAATGGGAGGGATGGCTGGGGGGGTTGGCTTGGTTCTTCCTCCTGTTTTGTTCCCCAAATCCCTGTTTTTGCCTCTTTCCTCCTGCCTTCCACAAAGCATTTCAGTTGAAAGGAAGCCAAATAAAGCTGAAAATGAAACACATTATCAGTAGAACTGTAACATTATGAAGCTAAGCCAGGCAATAATGCAAGTAAGAAGTGCTAGAGGAAGCCCCAAGCATACTGATCACTGTCACCAGTGCCACACAACCATCCCTTCCTTGTCTCCTATGCAGGTCCCTACATCCTGCATTACATCAAGGCTCCTGCCAGCCCAGTCTAGTACAGGAAGTGATCCAAAGAGCTTTCTGGAAATAAAGTCCATTATTTTCCCTAAAGACTGAGAAATCCAAGTGGATTTTTTCCCCCTTTTTCATAGGAGGAGAAGTCCAGCACTCACCTGCTGCACTTCTAATGGGAAACATGAATAGAGACACTACAGGAAAGGTCAGCTGGAGGAGGACTTCTGGCCCCATATATAAGCATAATCCAATGGCTTTGCAACCATAAAGAGAAAGGATGCAGGTATGGGACCATAACATGAGCTTCTACAGAAGCCAGGGAAATGTGGGGTGATCTGATCACAGCCCTCCTTGGGCCTGAGACACACTGATCAGAGGCCATGGGTAGACACATCACCTGGAGGTAACAGTGCTTTGTACTCCTGCACTGCTGCTAATCCTCAGCCTCCCATCTTCATTAGCAGCTTGGAAGAGAGCACTTGGAAGCCTAAATCAGCTGGGAAGATTAGAAAAGTTATCCTTAGGTTCCCCCAAAGGGACTTGATCTCCACTCTTCACAAGGGAATGTGCAGCAGAGATGCACCAAGGACACACACTGCATCGATGGCAGGGTGAGAACTGAGCCCATGTCCTCCCGAGTTTCTCCTGGAGAAGGGAGATGAACAAACATGAGGTGGACACAGAATGTTGTTAAATGGGTGGACGATAGAAGAGGATCCCAGTTACAGCTGAGGGACTGCGCCAAGACTTTCTGCACTGTGTTATGCTACAGCACAACAGGAGGAGATCAAGACCTATCTCACGCTCCTTATCCATATCATTGCCTTTGCTATGAAAGCTTCTTGGACCCAGAAGTCTCCGAGTAAACAGAGAACTGAGCCAACTTACACGGGAGATCACCCAGGCTCAGACAGCCAACATCTCATGAGAAGAAAGTCCTTTTTCCACCTTCTTTCACATTATTTTAACAGGAGAAAAACATCCTCCGTTGCTCTTAACTCCCCCCATCAGACTTGAAACCCTGGAGATGACAATTCCCACCGACCACTCCGAAATGTCTTGGCAGCATCCCCGTTTATTCATCTCTTCCCTTTCCCTTGGCACACACAGGCCACCACCAGAGGAGCTACTCTGCTCAGACAAGCCTGGTGCTCCAGCCCTGCTGCTCCGTCTGGTCCTGTGCCGAGTGTGACAGGTTTGTGGGGACCCTGAAGGCTTCCATCCCCATGATGGGCTTGTGTCTTTGTGAGAGGCTGCACCAGCTTGCTGAGTCTCAGCAGGCCCAGAGCTGCTCTGACAAAGGGGCCACGCAGGAGGCGGCGTGGAATCTGGCTGCACATCGGCCTCATCCCTTGCCAGCAGGGATCAATGGAACAAAGGGAGAGTGAAACACAAGGTCATGGGAATAACAGGCCATAATTTAACTGAGGGCAACGGGAATGGGAAACAAAAATAATCATTGGGGAAGCTGGGGGAAGGGAAGCGATGGGCTTGGGGGACTTGGGATGCTAGAACAATACAAAGGCATGGCAGCTCATGGGGCAGGGTTAGTTCTAGCAAGGAAGGGGGAAAATACGGCTGGATCACTGCAAAGGAGATGTTGAACGAGCTGCAAAATAAAGGTAGC